GCCTACACGTGATATTTGGCGCAGATGTACATGTTTACTGCGAAAGGTGGATCTTGAGATTTGTTATCAGATGGTGGAGTGGCTGTGACAGATCTAGCTAAGTGAACCAAAGGGATCCGGGATCTGTAGCTCACCTTTTAGAGTGCGCACCACGTCCTTACAGCAGCCGGCTCAGGCTGCATGTTCTCCCCTCTGTCACCCCCATCTCTCTTGTCTCTCTCTACTAATATACTATCAAATACACATATCTTAATTGTAATAAATTAAGGAATATTACTAGTATTAGCATTTACTGAAAATGTTGTGATACAGTCAAGGTCTTGCAGCTGAAACCCAGCACTATGATATATATATATGTGTATATGATATAGAAACATAAAGTTATGTTGTCATATTGAGACCACATCAGGTTTCCTAATCTTTCTGGACAAATCAGGTCTGAGCATATCAATCTTAAAACTCCCCTCTAGGAGCCTGTCTGTGTCCGTCTTTGTAGAGGTACAAAGTTGGAATTGACCCGTTCCCTCATGTGACCTGAAGGCAGCATCAGGTTCAGGAGGAGGCAGTGACACCAATATATTGCTCAGCAGTTTGTTCCTCACTTTCATCTGGTCTAATCTATGAGTTCTGAAGAAGAAATCAATCTCACTCTTCATTGACCATGTACAGGTTTTACAACTGCGTACAGTGAGGGCTGTATGCAGAGTGGTCGTATGTGTGTGCGTACATGTATACCACTGGGGAGTCTTGTATTGCTTTTCTTGCTGTAATGAGCTGATATGTGAGATAGAGTTGTGCTTACACACAGCTGCCCCAGCGGCCTGGCACTCCGTGTGTGTGTGTGTGTGTGTGTGCTTTTGGATGGCTCTAGTCATGGTGAATGAAAGATCAGAGAGAGAGAGAGAAGGCAGATGGACCGCCCTGAGGGCCAGGAGACGGAGAGAGAGAGAGAGCGAGAGGGAAGAAGACAGACAGACAAAGAGAGAGAAAGAAAGAAGAGAAAAATGCCAGTTCAACACTGACACACTTTGCCCTGCCAACCTTCTTTTCATCTCTCTCTTCCCCTATGTGCTTCTGTGTCAGCCCCTCCGTGAGGACACTGCATGTTACAGTGCAGCACTCACAAACACAGACCACACAGTCACACAGCCTGATGAGGGGCCTTACACACACAAGGACATCAAACCCTCATGAGCTGCATGTGGACTCAACTCTGGGAATGCTTGCTCTTACTTCATAACAAGAAGGTAAAAGACATGCATATTACACTGATGAACTAAAACATCACGAACACCCCTGCATAATATGTTGTTGGTCCTTCGCACACCAACAAAACAGCTCTGACCCACCATGATGGACTCTACAAGACCCCTGAAGGAGCCCTGTGGGACCTGGCACCAACACATCAGCAGCAGATCCTTTAAATCCTGTAAACTGGTGAGGATCAGACTTTTTACAGTCGCTCAGCTTTACAGCTGCCCATTTCTCCCACATCCAACATGTTGACTATTCGCTTACCATCTAATATATCCCAGATATTGACATGTGCCATTGTTATGAGATAATCAACGTTATTCATTTCACCTGTGAGTGGCCCTAATGTTTCAGCTCCATCTCTGTTGCTGCTCCTGTAATTCACATCTGTATTGGTTTACAGTGTTTTAAAGCCACTATTATGAAAATCCAGTGTTTAAATCCAGTTTATGAACTTGACAAAGTCAGTTTCAGGTTTAATCGACTAATTAGTTTAAATTTAATTTAAATTAAATTTACCCCAAATGTATATGCAATTGTTTGGCTTCCCTGTGCAAGAGTTTAAATTTGTGGGTTTTTTCTGTGTACGTTTTTCAGTCTAAGGTCTCTGACTCACTCTGGGGACAAAATAGAGTAAATAGGGAACATATTTTTTCGCTTTTTACTCAATTTGTATTGCTTTATATTGTATTATCTTATCTTATGTTGCCATAAACATTCAGAAACTCTTCTAAGTTGAAACTTATTGTTAAGGATTGTTATTGCATCATGATGTCAGAGTTTCTCTCGGGTTAGGACGATGATGATGAGCAGAAATAAAGATAAGGGGGAAAGAAAAGTAGAGAAATCTGAAGAAGAGGAAAAACAGACAACATGACAGAGATAGAAGGAGAAACAGAGATGCTCTGAGATAAGGGAGTTAGAGAGACAGAAGAGCAAATACAGGGACAGAATCAGAGAGAAATGATGATGAGGGGCACAGAGTGACACAAGACAGGAGCAGAAGAAATAAGAGCACAACAAGACATAGAGGGATGCTAGGGCAGAGATGCAGAGACAGAGAGATAGAGGGAGAGAAGGAAAGAAAAAAAGGAGTAAGAGAAGTAGAGGGCAGAGTGGGGGGGGGGGTGGAGAGACAGAAGAGGAGAGAGGTGTGTGTAGCAGAGAGATGGGGAGTCAATAATGACTGATTACTGTAATTCAGCCTGTCAGAGACATCGAACTGCTGCTACCACCAATCAATACACACCAGGACACTTGCAGACACACACAAACACCTCCAAACGAGCATGTTCGACACGTGTGTCATCAGGCTCGTGTACATGGCCGCACACACACATACAGTACGGACATACGGACATATATACAGCCACAGGCAAAAAATGCACAAAGCAAAAACCCACAAACACAACTGCAGAGATGTCTACATGTCTGCGCACTCACTCAAGATCGCTGGAGTTGCAGAAAATGCACACACAAGTTGAGATATGAATATGTGTAAAGAAAGTGCACACGCACGCACAAACACAATGGGGTCGGGAGGTATTAGATACGAGCCCCACACTGAGCCTAACAATCTCTCCGCCTCGCTGGGTGGATGTGGCAAAGCAAAATGGCTTCTCAACCCCCCCCCCCCCTTCTTCCACCTTGTCGGCTAGCATCACCTCCAACACTCGTATTATCTTTCTGAAAGGAGGAAAGAGGGCGGAAGGAGAAGAGGAGGAAGAGAGGAAGGGAGGAGAAAGAATAGGGAGCAAGACAGAAGCTGAGAGAGAAAAAAAAAGTTGAACGCAAGAGGAGAAAGAGAAAAGAGGGGTGAAAGACAAGAGGCAAGATGAGACTGAGGAGGCAGATCGTGGTGAAGGTGAGATGTTATAAAGGGATGAGGGACAAGGTTAAGAAGGTCAAAGAGAGGAACAAGGGAGGACACCAAGAGGAGAATCAAGATGAGACAGAGGGGAAATAATAACAGAAAAAGGAAAGGGAGAGGCAAAAATACTAAATTGTTATTATTCTATTACTGTTACAATGACAAAGTATGGGTTGTAATAAATTAGTGTACCAGACATCCGCATCTCTGTGTCAGCGGATTCTCTCTTTGAATGGGGTGACTAGTTTTTAGAGACCTAACCAGTTTTTGAGGAGGTCTTTCCCTCGCTGATACAATGCACAAAAGTTGTCAATAGTACTTGTCTGTCATTGGCAGCTATCAGTCTTTGTAAGCTCCTGTCATATGGGATGTGGTGTAGCTGAGCTGGCGAGACCTTTGGCCCGTGCTGCTGCACAAAGTCTTTATATTCTTTTATTTCTCTTCTTTTTGCTCCTTCCCTTTAAAAGGTACCCTGCGGAGTTTTTGTCTATAGGTAGTGCTATGGAGCAATGCGCTAATGAGGTGAGGAAGTGAGGCAGTGAGGAAGATGTATTCTAGCATAACAAACATAGATGTAATTGTAGGAATTAAAAAACTAAGCTGTGCACTTGCTTTATGATAAAGAAAACGCACTTAACATGTTTGTTATCCCTCTAGGAGGCATGGATATATTTTGGTAAAACTGAATGAACACAAACAGTAAATAAAGTGTGTTGATTGTAGGTCCACACTGTATTTATTTAACTTAAAAGCTTGGTGAGAAGGGCTTTATACTTCTGTCAGCCCAGGTTGCAGGTGGCATAATGACTGATCTGCACATGCTCGAGGTGAGTAAAGCATTGCTTCTGTCTGTCACCCAGAATTCATAAGATCAACAATCATAAACCTTATTTCATCACAATGCAAATAAAGTTGAACTTATCTGGATATGAAGGGAGGAAGAACAGACAGATAAGCAGACAGACAAGAAGACAGAATCATTAAGGGAATCAAATTGCTCTAAGTGCTTCTTAAAAGAAATTCCAATGATCAGTCAGTAGCTCAGCTCGCCTCAACGGGGGAAACTGTCACCTCACAATTACATGTGCAATTGCGTGTGTGTCTGTGCGTCTCAAACAACGCTGCACGAATCCGCATGTCTGTATGTGGATGTACATGCGTTAGTGAGGAGTTCATATGAGCGTAATCGTCCATCTGCGTTTCTTAGAGTGGAGACTGTGTACGAAGAGTGTGTGTATGTATGAGTGTATGTGTGTGTGTGAGACCAGAGAGCAAAACCCCTCATTCAGAACCAGCATTAGAAAGGAGAATCATCGATAAGTATTGAGCGCTGGGCTTGTTCCAACCAAACTACCATCGAAACGGATCAAGCAGACAGACTGTATACACACCCATTGGTCTGTTTCTCTTTCTCTCCCCCACACATGCGCGCACACACACACACACACACACACTCCATCCAAACTTTATGTGCCTGGCTGTGCACAACAAACGCACAGACGCACGCACGCACGCGCACGCACGCACGCACACACTTGATATATAGCACTTCAGAGCCAACTAAATACAGCTCTATCACACAAGCACTTATATTCTGAAAGCCAAACACGACTGGACATTGATTTGCTATTCTTAACACTTGAGCTGAGTGATAACCAACATACTCGCTCACACATACATGAGCAAGGATTTCAACAGACGGCACAACAGCACAGATTTATTCAAACAACTTAAAGTCGGCAAGCGAAGCCTACAAACAACTAAGTTTTAAAGAGCTGAGCATGAGTTGTTAGCCTGGAGATAGTGATTAAAGGCTTCTGTAACTTACCTTTGTCGTTCAGTTTTGAATACTCTGAGTAGGGTTTTGAAAGGATACAAGTTCTGGTATAGAGGAATGAGGGATTTGAGAGCTCGACTGGCGTTGATAGCTGTGGCTCTGACCATGGTGGGCAAAATCTTCATGTCCACGATGGCACCGTCAAACAACGGACCGAAGAACGGCACCTGCAGACACAAACACAAGGAGTGAAACAGGCATTAAACAACAAATAACACAATCTCATGCTGATAAGATATTTTATTTATAGGCACCTTTCGAGGCACTCAAGCACACCTTACAACACAAATCAAATATACAGTAGCAACAGACAGTATCAAACATCCAGCAAGGCATAAAGTATGTTAAAATTGAGAACAAATATAATTGCATAAAATAAATGATTGTATAGAACGTTAGCGCTGGAGTCAAACAGAAAAGGCAAGTTTGAAGGAGTGTGTTTTGAGGTGAAATTTAAAGGATGAAAGAGTCAATATTACAGATGTCTGATGCTTGTGGCAGCCTCTCAAAGACAGAAAATTCTAGATGTTTTATGTAACAGGACAATATCTGTCTGTTCTGACAAGCAATGACTGATATGACAAATTTTTTTTTCAATGATACACTATTTGATTCAGGCTATGGTTTTCTGCTTTAATTCAATGCTTTGCTTGTGGAATCCACCAAAGAGAATAATGTCAGACTTTTTATTGAATTTATTTGTGGACCAGGTCTCCAAGCCGTGCACTCTGTGACTGAATACAGTGCTTTCAGGACGACAACACAGAGAATATCTTATCTAACTTGTTTTTGGATTCATGATAATTCAATATTTTTGCTTGTAGAATGAATGAAACGGAATAAGGTTATGTTATTAGTGCTGTGGTATCTATGTCATACAGAAAAAAACAGCATTTTATTGTGTTAAGTCTTGTTTGAAATAGAGTTATGCTATCAGTGCTGTGGTATTAATGTCTGTGTGTTTTAGACTGATACATTAACCAGAGCAGCAAGACTCGGGACAGGACTCTCTCTAGGATTGTTAGTCAATCTGGATGCATATCTGTGTAGTCTGGAAACATAAAATTATTTACCAAAACACTGTCCATGTTTCCAACTTTATTCCTTACCCAACTCACAGACTCTCCGAATACATACAATATGAAGGCTCTACCATTAACATAATATCTAGAGCTGCAGCGATTAGTCGATCAATTGGCTGACAGAAAATCACTTTACCAATTCTGGACTGGTTGGCCTTGAAACCTTTAAAAAAGTAGTATGTAGTAATAACTTAAGGTCTACTTTTTTCTGCTTTTACTGGAGCTTTCAAATCACATCTCACAGTCTTTCTCTGCAGATGAAGTTTGCTCAGACTGAAGAACTTGATTTAGGGATTTTTGTTCTGACATTATATAGAATTGACAAACATAATCAAACATAACATGTGACATGATGCCATTCGACTGTAAACTGTTTAAGAGGGTGAACCGATTGGCCTCTGTGCATTTGTTCCTCTGTACATTACACAGTGGCTCTAATAACTGGCTTCTGACCAGATTCACATGAATAATGTGTCGCACACTTGGATCCCAACATTTACGTAAGACTAAAAGTCTACAGCAAAACTAGCGGCTCTGTGTGGCTGCACTTAGGCACAGCGATGCTTTGAGCATCAGCGTGCTAACATGATAAAATTGACAACAGCTAACATGTTGATGTTTAGCAAATATAATGTTTGTTATGTGTGTTAGCACTAATTAACACAAAATTAGCACAAAATACACAATATAGCTGAGAGTGAAAGCTAATACTTTTCTAGGTATTTGGTGATAAATCAAAATATTGGACAAATTGACATTTTGACCTGAAGATGGCACTAAATTAAAAGTTAAGGGATCACCAAGGTGATTACAATTCATCCAAAAGGGGGAGATGAATAAGGGCGCCCATTTCATGGCAATCCATTAGTACCAAACTTTAGGAAAACCCATCGAACAGTTGTTGAGATATACCGACCAACCAACACGTACAGAGCCACGAGTATGGCTACCAATTACACAGATTGGCCAGTGATTGACACTGCAATTACATTCCCACAACAGGTTACATGTATAGTTATCACCGATTAGTCCAGAGGGGACGTGAATTATCATCCTGGGTTTTAATGATGAGTCTAAATGTCTTGCTGTTTCAGAGTCATTTTCACCTAATAATAAGGATTCTGGGGAAACACTGAAATGTTGATGCTGAGTAATTGCACAAAGTATTGACGACTGGCAGTTTGAGTCCAGTATCAAAATGCTGAACGCTCCTCTTACCTCTGGTTTTTTGAGAATATGGATGGAGTACATGTGGTTCTTCATGGGGTAGATGATGATTAGTACGTCTCCGAACTCAGTGGGGATGATTCCTCGACGGTAGTCTCTGGAATGTTCCGACCAGACAATGTGGACCTCGTCATTACCCAGGTGTCTCAGCTGGAGGCGGAGGCAAGAAATATTAATAGTCGAATCAAAACAGAATAAATGTCTCACATTTTTCTTTGTGAAGCATAAACAACACAAACTAAGTCAATGCCTCACACACACACACACACACACACACACACACACACACACACACACACACACAACACAACACACACAGAAGGATAATCACACACTGAACTAGAAAGGCTGTATCCATCATAAACCCAAGGCTTTTGATTCTGTGTGTGTACGTGCTATAGGTGGCCCTGGGGGTGATGGAGTGAGTGTGTGAAGATGGAGAGTGGACACAAAGACAGAGTGAAGCTCCGGAAAGATGGAGTATGGGCTGGAAGACAGATGGGATCAAGCCTGATGCTGTGCGATGGGGTGTGTGTGTGTGATGGTTCTCATTCACTCAGTGGTCTACAGTCAGGTCTGGTGACAGCTCTGTCATTAACCTTGATGTCTGCCAAAAAGCACACACACACACACAAACACCAGCTCCCCACACAGACGTCTCTCTACTTGTCTGTTGTGTCACACAACCTCAGATGGCTGCCGGACTCGGCCTTGGCCCTGAGACAAACACAAGACATTTCCTTTTAAATATGTGTTTAACTGGAATCAGTTGTGTATCTTGTCCTCTGTCAAGGTTTTTAAAGACGTATGATTTGTCTGCACAATGTGAGGGGATTTGTTAATCAAAAAAAGACCAAGAAGAAAGTCCCACGTTGTGTATCAGGACGCACAGTTTGATAAAATGTAATTTTATTTGTACACACACAACTCCCTCAACTGTCATATAAGCCTGGGGGTGAATTAATTAAGATGGAGGCCCGGAGAACTTGTTACCTTACTGTTTGGAAGTTACTTCACCCACTTGCCATTATGACTCTGCATGAATTTACGTGACTGCACTGAATTATAGGCCTAATTAGAGTTGATATATTAAGCAGAGTTTGGAAAATATGTGAGTAATAGAGATGTATTTAACAAGTTCTACTTAAAATAAATCTTTTAGAGGCACTTTCCTCTGACGGTGCTTGCAATTCAAAGTGACACACAACTCACAATGATACTGAGAACGAAGGGCTCTGCCATTATCACATTTGGAGAGTGAGAATTATGGGCTTTAAGCTGTATTTTTGGGTGTCAGAACAATTAGATGACACAGTGTAATAAGGCGAAGTGGAGTCTTAGTGTCTGATGTGCTTCTCTGAGCTGTATCACTATTTTAAATGTAGCTTTAATCCTTTGAATCATTTTTTAAAGCAGATGTGGTCTGACAGGGAGCAGAACACACTGCAGAGTGAGAACTGGACAAATGCCCTGCAATGGACTAAATTCACACTGCAGTGTGTATTGTTGTGTGTGCATGTGTGTGGCAGAGGGATGGATGATAAATGCCTGCCAGTATGGACATGTGTATGTCTGTCAGTTTAACCTCTTTGTGGACAAACTGTGTGTGTGTTATGTGTTTGTAAGCCTGTGTGTGCAAGCCTGTGTGTGCTAACCGACACATGCATGTGGGTGTCTGCGTTCAACAGACGCTCACATTTATAATCGTGTGGTTATTTGTGCGACTGATGTGAATGAAGCCCTCAGTGGATGTGTGTTTGTGTCAAGTTAAACAGGTTTATTGTGTGTGTGTGTGTGTGTGTGTGTGTGTGTGAATGTGACTATGCGTGTTTGATGGGGCCATCAGCTGATCAGGGAGATGGATGGTGTCGGACCAGGCACTGATAATCCAATCAGGAGCCTGCAGCGACGTGATAGGCCGAGAAGCAGGAAGTATGATCTGATTAAAGCGACATTATGGCCATGTGCAGAGCGCCCAGTGCCCGGGGGTTGACAGGTGTGCACACACATGCACAGCCCGTGCATACGAACACACACACACAATGGGGGGTGAACAGGGACACGGAGGGAGAGGTGCACGTACATACGCTTGTGATTATTTACTAAAAGTCCCACATGTGTGTATGTGTGCGCGTCTGTGTGCGATCACTACAACTCAGCCATCCAGATGTACATGTGTGTGCATGTTTGACTAACACACGAGCATGTGTGTGTGTGTGTGTGTGTGTGTGTGTGTGTGTGTGTGTATGTATGTGTGTACATCTGTGTGCATCCTGCGACTACACTCATCAAAGTACGTCCACTAAAAGTGCTTGTTTTTGCCCCTGACAGAAGACTGGTATTATAAGTGTCTGGCATCCAGGGCTGCTGCGATTAGTGGCAATAATCGATGGCGTTTACGCTGAAAATACATTAACATCAATATTTTAAATTGACACATAAATTTATCTATTTCTTACCAGCCACAATATCAACATTGACCATCACATTGATTTTCTATTTTATTTTTATTCCATTTATAGTTGTGCTGCTTCTCTGTCCAGGGTGGGGCTACTTACTCAGTGCGGTGGACACAGAACCAGGTGATGTAAAGATAACTTTTAGATTACTTGAGTTGACGACAATTATAACTGTACTGTACGTTAGTGTAAGTGCAATAAAAAGTAAAGAAGGTAAAGAAAGAGAACCAGTAATAGCATGAGCCAGATCAATGATAAGATGATAAGGTAAGATAAGATATGGATAAGATAAAGATAAAATCCTAAGGATACTCATCCCTAAAGCTGGTTAGTAGCTTCATTCTGACTTTGGGAGGACAAGCGGTCACTCACAAAAATATGATTACTTCATTTGTAAATGTTGTCTCTTCATTAGAAGGGACTTTTTAATGTCTTTTGTCCTTGTAGCTGCTAAATACTCCCATAAAGCAATAAAGTCAGCTGCCTGCTACCTTAGAATTTACACTGAAAAAGTGATTGAGAGAATGTTTAGGCCAGAATCTGGGCTTATTCTACTTTGACTGACAGTGTCAGTGTGTCAATTCGATATTTTTGGAGGAAAATTAACCATTTGAAAAAGAACTACCTGATTGAGGCAGCTGTAGACCAGCAACACTCGTATTCTGTGTAATGGTTTGGTGCTTCTTTGAGGAGTAATGTCCTGTTACCAGGGCTCATCATAGGCTCATAAAAAAGCAGAATATCAAGTTATAACCGATTAATGTTGTGTGTGTAGAGATCTGCATGGTTATACCGCAGCTTGGTGTCGATTTCAGGCGATTTAATGAAAGTAAAGACACTGAACGGCCGTGCGTAATGGCACTGCGCTCTGCGCTTGTTCGGGTGCTGCAGGGATTTAATGAACTGAAGGAAAAACTGTTCATACAGTATAAAGCAGCTGTGGAGAGCAGATACTGTAAGTATCACCCACATCCGTTTATAGATAAATGCAGACTGACTGACTGACTTACTGCTTGAACCACATTAAACGTTATTTTCTGAGGCCTGACCGTTAAGAGCCACACCTGCACACGCATGTGTGTTTGTGCATAGCTGAGCTGTACTGATCACACACAAACACACAATTGAGACTTTTAGTAAATAATCACACAAGCATATATACTGTATGTACGTGCATCTCGTTCTGCGTTTCATTTTTCACTTACCACATGTGCGCAATAAACCTGCCTGCCTTGACACTGATACAAGCCCACACCATGCACAAACACAGACCTGATTGCTAGTAAGAATTATTGGAAACACTTGTGTGCTGTAGAAACACTGACATCAACAGATTGGTATTGGTGTGTGTGTGTGTGTGTGTGTGTGTGTCCAGCAACCTATGTTCATTTACAATGTCACTCTCAGGCAAAGAGAGGAGTGAGGAGAAGGAATAGAGGGAGGAAGAAAAGAGTGGGACGGGGAGAAGCTTTCTTCTTCTCAACTCCTCTGATTGCACATATTTCTTATTTACCCTCATTAAATAAAATTAGATATATTAGAGCAAGAAAAAGAGGATGCATTATTATTACTTGTCAAATCACAGACACACACATTACTGCAGTTTGTGAGAGTGATAGCTAGCAGATAAACAGATGGATACAGCGTGACAGAAAGTAGGCAAGTTTCCATTCAACTGTTTGAAAATTGTGAAGGGTCAGTGTTTGTGTGTTGTTCAAAGTCATCCTGCAACACACAGGCAATTAGTGAGAGGGAGCGTGAACAGTGTGGCCCCCTATACTTCCACAGATACGTCTAGATGACAAAGCACCAGTCAGACAGGTGTGTGTTACCTTCTTGGTGAGGTTGTGGTCCTGGTCGTGGGGCATGCGGGTGGAGACGTGGTAGATAACCTCGGTGGTAGAAGTGGCATAGTAAGGTGTGGTCTGGCCTGTACTGCGGTTCCTCTGGAGACCTCCCATGAAGCCACAATGAGTGGTGAGATCCACCTAGGTGTCACACACACACACACACACGTTAAAATAATAACTCCCTGTCTATCCTTTTGCTGCCCATAGACTCCAATGAAATCAGACTTCCTTCAGCTTCCTCTGGACTCCTAATCAAGATAAAATTCAAGATAAAATTTTGACATATCAAAAAGAAAAATTTGGTTTTAATAGCAATAATAGCAATAAGTCTGTTTACGTTCTCAGTTTTTAGGATTAATTTAACTTGTTTTGCACAACACACACACACAAAACATAATCTGATTTAAACATGGTTCACTATATATATATATATACATATATATATATATATATGCATGTGGATATGTTTTATATCATCAGGCTGCTGAAACATCAGGACATACAGGGTTATTTTAACCACTTGACCAACTATGTAGTTTTTTTTTTTAATTGCAACAATCTTTAATCATCTAACCATCAATGATATGATGATTAAAATACTAGTTGCAGATAATTAGATGCAGTTATACATTTTATCTAGAAAATTTCAGGGAAACGATGTCAAGATAAATGTACAATTTGATTATATGAGGAAGACAAATAATGTCAGCACATTTAAGATCATTTGAATGAATGTGTTCTCACCTCCCAGCCCAGTCCAGAGACAAAGTCTTCATAAGCCTGGCTGCCCGTCGTGTTGGTGAGGATGGAGTGTTTGTCTTCTTGGCCTTCAGCCACGTAAAATACAGCTATTTTGTGGGTCTCACGGCTACAAGAGAATGAAGGAAAAGGAAAACAACTGTGACCAACAGGGTGGTGTTATGTATTTTAGCAACTTCTGCATGTTTTTATCCTAGTACTTCCCCTTTAACCCTTGTTTGTTTTAGAGCCAACCTCAAAGACAGTTACGAGGTGTAATAATAACTCCACAATAGAATGGGATGCCACTAAGCGGACTGTAGATTAGAAAGCTTGAGAAAAACCTGTCCCACCATGAGGGTGGGAATCAACAGGTATGAAAAAGAAGGGAGGATTCAATCTATGAACTCACAAAAACCTGAATGAAGATATCAAAAAGGGGAGATGGAGCGAGGAATGGTATTTGACTTTATATTTTCTTACCATTGCCTTGAGTCCAGGTTCTTCAGCTCTCTCAGCAACTTCTCATTCTTCCTCAACAAATGAAAGTTACTCCTGCAAGATACCGATACATGCACAGGTTAGGAATCATTAATCCAAAGCTAAACTTTTCTCTCCACTATTCTCTGGCTACTGCCCTCGTCTCCTCTAATTGACTGGTTGACTGCTTTTGTCACCTTTTCCTGGAAAAAAAAGTGCAGGCTAATAAGACGTTCAGTAGAGCTGGCAGGAGTTCTGGTGAAAAGGACCAAAAAAAAGCTGAAGGTTGAGAGAAAGGAAAGAAAAACAAAACAATACAAAGAAGCCAAGTAAAAGGTAATGTTTGACATTTTAGAGTACATGGTAAATGAACATTATTTAAAAGAGAAATTTGGTTGTCAATGTTCAGAACATCAATTCCCAAAACCTTTCGATAGACTTGTTTCTCTTAAGTCTCGGGCGATTTTGTCAGTAAGTTTGATAAGAAGTTTGCTTGTTCCTGGCTTCACTGTTGAGGTGGTATTGGGGGGAGGGGTTAGTTTCCTCCAAACATAACGCTTAGAACTGAGGCCAAATAGTTCAATATGGTTTCATCAGACCAGAGAATCTTGTTTCTCTCACTCTGAGGTGCTTTTTTGCAAACTCCAACTGCCTTTCATCTGGCCACTCTGCCATGAAGCCCAGATCAATGGAGTGCTGAAGTGATAGTTGTCCTTCAGGAAATTTCTCCCATCTCCACACAGGATCTCTGGAGCTCAGCCAGAGTGACCATCGGGTTTTTGGTCACCTCTGTTGCCAAGGCCCTTCTCCTGTGATTGCTCAGTTTGGCCGGGTGGCCAGTTATAGATAAGGTTCCTGGTTGTTTCACACTTGTTCCATTTAAGAATTACGGAGGCCACTGCGCTCTTACGAACCTTGAATATAGTGGAATTTTTTTCTAGCCTTCCACAGATCTGAGCCTCAACACAAGCCTGTCTCTGAGCTGTGCAGGCAGCTCCTTCCACCTCATGACATAGTTTTTGCTCTGATATACAGTACATCGTCAGCTGTGAGACCTTGTATAGACAGGTGTGTGCTTTTCCAAATCATGTCCAATCAGCTGCGCGGAATAGAAGCGACTGATTAGAAAAGTCGACAAAACACAATTACAAATGGTCTGTGTTTCCATTGAGTAACTTTATGTGAATAAAGCTGGGTTTTCTCCTCTTGTGATATTACTCCAATTAAACATGACAATGGATTTCCAGCAGTCTGCCTGTAGGTTGGAACTGGCTCCCTGGGGCTCAATATGGCAGGTGTCACAACATGAATGTGAAATATTGCTTTGTCGAATAGTCTGAAAAACCACCTCCTGCAAGCGTATAAATGTTTCTGCAACATTATAGAGTTTTTTTTTTAAATTCACGTTTCCATTACTTGTTTTTAAGATCGCAATTTCAAATTGTGCATTTAGCAGGTAAATGGAAACGCACCTAATGCGATCTTTCACTTTTTTAATAAATTTGCAAAAAATTAGTTTGCTTTGTCATTATTACATATTTTGTGTAGACTGATGTATGAGTGTTATAGATTTTTTATTATTCTAGCAGAAGGCTGCAACAACAAAATGTGAAAAAATTGAAGGTGTCTGTACACTTTCTGAAAGCACTGTAGGTGTGAATGTTGGAAGGAGAGTTTGGAAAATTCGCAATTTCAACGATGGTAAGGTGTGGGGCAATTCAACAAGCAGTTCTGTTTCTATACTACTGCCTAAACTGCGCATTACACATATAGATTCCTGCGGATTATTATCACTGTACTCTAAATGATCAAATGCAGCAGCATCTCATGCTGTCTACAGCTTTCAGGGTCCAAATAGAAAAAGATAATAAAAAGATAATAAAGAAAACAAGAGCCTTTCATACAGATGAACTAGTGCAGGGACTGTTCAAAATGTCCCAAGGACCAGCCACCAACCTTGGCACTGCTGATATAAAATCAGCTCGAGCAGTGAAGCTTGGAGTGGACTGGTAATGACATATCATTCTTTTCACTCTTAGAGGGAGGAAAAAAAGAGAAAAGGAGCGGGAGATAAAGAGACAGAGAGAGAGACAGCAATTTGCTCTTTATTAAACTGATACTTGGTAATGGCCTCATTCTCTGCTCTCAAAGACTCCATTTACATCCTGGATTATAGGGAAAAGCATAAAAGGGACACACACACACACAGACGGACACATTCACACACGTGGATGATGGGTCAGTATCTTAGTGTCTGATGTCCCACATGAATACCTGGAGACATGAGGGGACAATAACAGATGATTAGACAATCTCTTCTCATCTTTCTTTCTCATCCTTCTATCTTCTTTTTTCTGTTTCGTTAGCTTTCTCAATTTTTCATCAAGATTCACTCACTTATTTTGGCTTATTTTTTTTGGCTTTTTATTCTTGTTCTATATCTACATGTGCCTTACTCAGCCTGTTTTCTGATTTGACACATCTCCCTCCATCATTCTCTTCTTCAACTACCGCCTTTTATTCTAACTCCAAATGGGTTCAGTTTGATCAATAGAGTACTATACTCATTATCACACACTCTTACGTACACACACATGTGCGCGCACGCGCACACACACACACACACACACACACACATACACACAAACATACACACACACACAGCGTGTTAAGAAGTCTATTGTGCGGGCTGAATGCAGACGGTGTGATTCCCTGGACAAAGTATAAAGAGCGATGAGTGTCCATTAGTGACACCTTGACATTGTGTATTTTAACCCAGAGTCATTGAGAAGATGAAATGCTGTGCCATGTGAATGGAAAAATCGTGAGGTATAATTAGCTCAAAATACTTTGTTGAGTTGGAAATTTTTGTCTCGCTCGCATTCAACAAGCATTTGGTTTGTTCTAGGGGAGACAAAAATTAACAGAAGACTCCTCAAGCATCTGAAAAACAGCCTCTCTGTAGAAAACTCCATATTTATTCCTCCTCAGGCATAAAACACCCCAAATCAGTGTTTTCAGTTTTATTAATAATATTTTGTATGTATTATGTATTCTTATGTGTAGTTTAAAAGGGGCCACTTATAAGTTTTCTCTGCTGCTGAATTTGATTTCTTGCCAGGAGATGATGATAGTGATTGTCGCTCGGGCCACCGCTGCATTTACAAGACAAGAGGTTATAAAACGCCCTCTGAGCAGCGCTACGTCTTCAGAGCAGATTGGAGGCTACAGTGAGTCGCTATCAGAAAGTGACGAGACGAGCCGGGGCTAGCTGCTTAGCCTGCTAACTTCAGTAGAAGAAAAGAGACAACTCTTGGCGAGTAAAGGAATGAAGTTTGATGCTGAACTTGCAACGGTTCTTCTACACTGGCAAGTAAAAAGCTGTTAATGCTAACGCTGGCTTTGTAGCAATAGCAAAACTTATGAATCGTTCCTTTATAAAGGTAAAAAGTAAACTTGAGAACAAAAAATCCCTAGAAAAGAATGTCCTCATGAAGATAAAGAACTAATTTCTGAGCTTGGTCGGACTAACATTCTCCGATTTGCTGGCCACAAACTACCAAAGCAGATGTGGTGAATGCTGCACAAGTGATATTTAAAAAGGAGGCAGGAACGCAAGAAAAGTCAACAGAAATATATAAACAGAAGAAACAATCAAATTGACAGTTTCGTGTGTTTCTCGTATGTCTGTGTCTGGTCTTACCTCTTCTCCCAGGAGTTGAGTCCCAGTATGTTGATCAGTAGTCTGCAGTAGTAAAAGGCAGACTGTGGTGTCTCGGTGTCTGGTTCAGTCTGCTGCACTGCCCTCATGTTCAGCTCCTCACCTCTCTGAAAAACATTCAGCATTTCACTTTTAATGCAAAAAAAAAAAAAAAAAAAAAAAAAAAAAACTGCACAAAAAATCATGGAAACTGAACAGACAATATCATGTAATGTTTAAATGCCTGGGAGATTCTCTAACATCAAATCAAATATAAAAATATCAAAATATTTTAAAATATCTACACATCAGACTAAATTATGATTGATTAGAGAAGCAAACAGAAAACAGAAAGCCTTTTTCAAATATTACAACATTGTGACATTTGTCCACGTGTCTATATAATGTTTTTTTTGCCACCACAGTAGCAGAGTTATCGGATGCTTATTTGATGCATTACAACTTTATAGAGTGCAGTTCTTTGTTGTTTTCACAGCAGATACTTTGACTTGTCATTGTAGGGAAAGCACAGGTGTTGCTAATAACATTAAAGGTGGCTTGTTCTAATCTAGTGTCCCGGTGAGCCAGCATGCACGATACCAAGACCCTGAAACTGAGGCAGCTAAATGGAATTCATCCTGGATGTTATAATTTCCACCTGAGCTTTTCCCACTCTGACATGTCAAAATGTCTTCTGTGAAAAACACCTATGGAAATGGAACAAATCCTCACTATTATTGTTGCAACATTAAAAAAAAAAGTTAACTCGAAATTGGTTTGAATGTAGGACTCAAACAGCTCGTGGTCTTTCTTTTACTTCCTGAAACCCAATATTAATGCTAAGTTGTGTTAGCCCAACAATACACTTGCTAGTGAGGCACTTGTGCTGCACCAAAAGAGTTGAATATCCACTTCAACAGGACAGTGTAGGACCTAAGAACTTAAAAAAAAAAAAAAAAATCAATTGGTTTAATTCAGTCTACTCATATGAGTATGGACAATACACACATGAAGGACAAACTCTCTCTCAGCGGCGCTCTGCTTCAGGATGGCATTGATCACGTCGTTCTCCTGCTTCTCTGAAACACAAGCTGGAGGAGGCGCTGGGATGTTGAGTGGCATGCCTGCGGGGATCAGAACACAAAATATTTGTAAAATATCTGAATTATTCTCAGACTTCAAAGATTTGGTGTTTTGCTCTCTTTAGAACTACACAACAAGAAGAGTTGTGTTAGTCAGTTCTGATATTTTGCAGTTGAATAAGGGACTCTTCAGATTAGAAAAAACTTCAGGGACTCTTTTCGTGTGTGTGTGTGTGTGTGTGTGTGTGTGTGTGTGTGTGTGTGTGTGTGTGTGTGTGTGTGTGTGTGTGTGTTTATACCTGCTCTCTGTAGACACTCAGGACTTGAGTATCCCAGATACTGCAGCATTTCATCCAGCGCATCATCACCTTCCCTCAGTGAATCCCACGCTGGCACCGCCTCCCGACACACACGTTTAGCCAATGGCGGAGCTAGAATCTGTTCCAAGCCCGACTCCCCCTGATCTCCCTCCCCGTCCATTCTGTGCTCCTTCTCCTCTTCATCCTGCTGTTCGTCCTCCACATCTCCTCCATCCCCACCTCCTCTTCGATCTCCCTTCTCCTCCTCCTCACTCACTTTCCTCTCCTCTCCTTCCTCCTCTCCTTCTCCCTGAAACTCTTGCCTCTCGCCTTGCATCCCTCGTTCCCCCTCCTCTGCCTCCCTCTCTTCTTGCCCCTCCTCTTCGCTGTCCTCTCTCCTCACCTCCATCTTTTTCGGTGGACCTCCTGGTGAGGTGCGTAAATGAAGACTCGCACTGTGAGGAGATTGTGTGTGCGTCAAAAGTGTGTGTGCTGGGCTGGTCGGGGAACATGGTGGAGGCCCGTAGAGGACAGCAGAGTCCCAGGAGTGTTTTCCAGCTACATCTCGGATGATGACACGAACGCAAGCAGGAGCAGAGGACAAACCAGCTGTCATTCCACCCCCTGGTACACCAGACTCTGACCGAATCTGGCAAATAGAGGAAGAGAGGGACTGTGGTTAAACACTAAATCCTCCAACTATTTAAGAAATCAATCTGAGTTGCAGCATCTTACACACAACTCACATCTCAACTGTCGCAAAACTCAAACCTCCTAAAAAAAACCTTATTTCACTTATTTGCTTCTTCTTTGTAACTGGTAGAACTTTAGTAGAGAAATCAGTAAGATACTTTTATTTTAACTTCATCAGGATACTTCAAGAACAACTACAAGTGTGCTCAGCATTAAATAAATCTAATATACCCTAACTCAAAGTTAGACTGCAAAGCATGTTATGTTAGTGTTAGGAGGAAAGTTAGACTCCCTTTAAACAAATCTCACGTTAAAAACATGGCAGAATGTGGTAAATTCATGTGGAATCTACCATGTTAAAACTCTTCAGATGGTGTGCTTACAATACAACAGAGATGATCAAAGATTTGAATCCTGGATAAGAAAAGGACTTATAACCTGTCTCTCATTTACGTACAACAGTGCATTACAAAATTGTGAATTTGTGTAGGACAAACATGACCTAGAGCACAATGATTTTTTTTAGATACTTTCAAGTACAACTATTTTAATCAGAATTTTAAATCTTTTTTTTCCTTTTCAAATCTTGAAATCGGCTTTTAGTTTAATACCAAGTTAAGTCCGTCTCTAGATTGTACCGTACTCTCTTTTATGCGAAAAATGAAAACAGCTTGTACATTAAAAGAAGTGGGAAAAGAAGCTGGAATGATGCTTTCTAAGGAAAATTTGCATCTTTCAGTTGTCCTCAACTAAGTCTCTTGATTGGAGAGAACACTGCTTGAAAAATATCATAAGACATTTTAAGACTCCACACCAGGAAAAATATAAGAACAGAAGTTTGGCATGTTGGAGACAACGTGGCTCATACCCATACTTCAGGACTGCTCTAAACTGAGTTCATATTGGAAAGGGATTCACAGAACAATAAGTAAGACTCAAATAACTCTTAAACTGGAGAATCCTTATCTGGGTAATAATGTTTTGTTTTATGAGCACAGGAAGAATATATCACTGGGAAATGGCTAAATCTAGAACCAGCTACACTTACTGAGCACTTTATTAGGAACATCTGTACACCTGCTTATTCATTCAGTTATCTAGTCAGCCAATCATGTGGCAGCAGTCCAATGAATAAAATCATTGAGATACAAGTCGGGAGCTTCAGTTAAAATCAGATCTCTTTGCTGCTACACATGATCCAGTAGTAGACAAGTAATTTTTGTGTTACTGAAGCAACACATGATGAAATAAGGAATTGTGGTAATCACAGTGAGAGGAAAAATGTTAGCATAGATGCTATGTAGGCTCTGAGTTAAAAGTACAGCCAAGTCACGCAAATGTTGGCATGTTAACATGCTATACAACTGACATTTTCATCCCCTGAGTGGCTAACTTAATACAGTAGCAGAAGTCTTACCTACCAACTAGTGCTGTTTAGGTTAGAGCTCAGGGAGCTTCTGTCACGCTGACAAACAGCGGTTTAAACTGGCCTTAAACTTATGCAGTGCGACATCGGCTCTAAATCATACAAAGCTTCAAATTTTGTCGGGGGACTTTCTTTCAGTGGAGGTTACCTGGAGCACTGAGAGCAGCGTGGAGCCATTCAGAACCAGGAACTGAAGGTTTGGTGAATGAAAAAGTTCTGGCCCAAGATCAGCACTCTCACAGAATGGGTTGTCTTGGTTTTCACACACCTAGAAAACATAGGCCAAGGTGTTGCTCAAGCAAAATGCCAAGATCGAAATAAAGGTATCGTAAGTTATCATTACCATAAACAGTACACCACACTAGTACCTGACTAGACAGAGTAGCCGGCCCTCCAGACATGGGATAATGTCCAAGGTGGTTGACCAGGTGGGTGATAACTGTTCTGGCTGCGATGGAAACCAGGCCCTGCTGAATACGGCTGCGAACTGCAGAGAGAACAGGGAAAACACAGACAGAGGACGCAGTTAAGAAAAATAAATTGCAAGAACCAGATATTTAAAGATGTTGTTGATAGTTAATGTTTCTACAATTTATAGTTTAACTGGTGGTAAAAGGTGCAGCTGTTACAAGGACTTGATAGTTGGGCTCTAACTTACAGAAAAAACACAAGGAAGAGGAACAAACACACATTCAGCTTGTACATAGTTTGACTCATGCTGAGAGGAAGCCAATGCCATCACACGCTGTGCTGCCAACAGATCCTGGCTAATCAACATCTCTCACACACACACACACACACACACACACACAACACACACCAACACACACACACACAACACACACAGATGCACATGATGATGATCATTGGTACACAGAATGAGTGGCCGATCTCTGCTACGCACACACACGATAGTGACCTAGACCAACGTTTGCGATATAATGGGTCACACACATGTACATCACCACAGTCGTAACACACCCCTTATTGACAGGACTGTGTGTAGAGTACAGATATGCATTGACCAGACATTTTCAACAACTCCCTTAACAACAGGAGAGCTCAGGAGGAGGAAAAAAGAAAAGAAAAGAAGAAACATAAATGAACATAAAGGAATGGGCAACAATAAAGACAGAAGTAAACTGAATATTAACAGAAAATAAAGTTAAGAGAATAGCAATGAAGACATTGAGGAGAGGAGAGGAGAGGAGAGGAGAGGAGAGGAGAGGAGAGAAGAGAGGCATGGTCTATCAGGGTGCTCCAGTCATTAGACTAGTCACTGTGTCCTGGTGGACCACAGCAGGGGACAATACACACGCTCACACGGATGCAGACAAGTGCGCTCACACACAACATATACACACACACACCTTCTACCATTTTTAGTGACTGGCAGTTGTTTGGTGGACAACTCTGGGTCATTCTGTCTTTGTGTGTGTGAGTCAGTGAAGCACTTTGCATACATGAGAATCCACGTACAGACAGGTGACAAATTAAAGGAAAAACCAATATCAAGTGTCTTAGTAATGTGTTGGGTCACCACGTGCCACCAGAATATCGATGCTCATTGGCATTGATTCTACAAGTCTCTGGACTCTACAGAAGAGATGAACACCATTCTTCTTAAAGATATTCCTTCATTTGGTGTTGTGACGATGATCATGGAGAGCGCTATCTAACATGTTGGTACAGCCTCTCCCATAGGTGTTCACCTGGGTTGAGATCCGGAGACTGCTAAGGCCAGCACTTAAGATTCACATCATTTTCATACTCGCCCTCATGCCATTCTGTATCTCCACTCATTTTTCTGGGTTTTCATAAATTCATCACCCTTATGCATATATATATATATATTACAGACTCTATATGTACCGGGTGTGTAGTGTGTCTGTTAGATAAGTTACCTTCAGTGACAGGCTGTAGTTTGCTGGAGCGTTCGGAGTCCGGGCTGTGCAGTGGCTCTGGTTCTCTGAGGCTCTCTAACGGCAGGAACGGGTCGTAATCTGGGTTCAACAGGTCCGACAGCTGCAGCGGGTAATACTTGGGACTGCTGAAGGACTGTGCTCCATACACACAACCATGCAACACCTAGACAGAGTTTAAAAGAAAAGGGATACTGTTCAATTGATGCCATTTTAAACTGGATTTCATTTTGCCTCATCAAGGGATCATATTCAGTTTTACTGCAATGACGCTTGTATGTCATAATAAAAACACTGCGAAATACAGGCCATAGTGATATTAGATTTTTGCAAGAAGTGGCGTGGAACTTTCTGTGGTGACCTTATAAATACAGCTGAGCAAAGTCTTGGTAGGCTGGTCCCTCTCTGGAGGGCTTCGAGTCTGAACAGGCTGAAGCAGAGTCTTTGGAGGCAGAGCCATCACCCAGTCCAACAGACACAACAGGAGGGAAACTACCAGCTGCAGCACACAGAGGCATTGTGATAAGACACTGACACAAGGTTATTTTCTAAAGTAAAGCCAGTAATATAGTACAAAGAGTGTTTTTGCGTGTGTTACCCTCTTATCAATTTCATGAGGAGAAGACTCAGTAGTAGGCAGCAAGAATGTGATGGTGGCGATCAAAATCTGAGAAAAAATAACATCAATTGTTTTCAATGTTAAAACTGTCACTACAAGTGATATTAAAAGCAACATGATGTATTCAAATGTACAGCTTTTCTAAAACCTCAGCTTTACTTAAACACAATTCAATCCATTAGGATGTGCGGACAAGCTGATGAACTTGACCTGATAAACAAACAATGTAATTATTCCATAATTTGTTTGTTCAGAAGTGCAAAGTAATGTTTGTCTCACCTCTACGATCTTCTTTGGAGTGTCAGGGGGGAATTTCTGAAGATGATCCACGTAACTGATCAGGAGGTGAAGGATGTCTGACGCCACCAGTGCTACACTCTTATTGGGGTACTGGGAGAGGAAACACACATCATTCATGTTAGTAATCAGCTTGTAGGTAATTCCATATATTAATAAGATAATAAGATAAGATAAGATGTATTATTAAGATAGTCAAACAGGGTATTTAGGGTTGGGATTCTTTTTACCGTAAAATGAAGAAACCAATCTTGATCTTTTCAAGAAGATTTAATTATCCATTGTAGTATTCCCAATATTTTCTTTTCTTGTAATTGCCGTTTATATAATGTTTAGGACACAATAAAATACAGGTTGGTTAGTAAGAAGAGAGAAAATGTACATATTAGTTTAATGAGGATCAGCGCCAACAAAACAAATAATGCTTCCAGATGAAAAGGAAGAAGGATGAGGAGGACAACAGAAAGTGGCTTTGCATGGAAACATGAAAATCCCTCAAGCTTTGTGCATGTAATCATGTGTGCATGTCGCACACCCCATGACTGCAGCTACTGGCTGCTGGTATGAAGGCAAGAGATTCAAAAGTGGACCAGACCTGCGTATATATATGATAGTGTGTGTGTGTGTGTGTGTGTGTGTATGACACAGCTTGCAGCATTCCCCCTGGATTAGTCTCCTATCTGAAGGAGGACCAAACATATTGACAGTCCAGGGTTTGCTCCCAGGAGTAAGTGAATTCAAGTGTGTGTGTGTGTGTGTTACTGTAGTGTCTTAGCAGGCCATTGGCTGCCGATACACAAGCTAGGGATTCCAAGGTGGAAAAGGTATGTGTGTGTGTGTGTGTGTGTGTGTGTGTGTGTGTGTGTGTGTGTGTGTGTGTCTGTGTCCATCTAGAGCCACTTGGCGATAGATGAGACAATAAATGTTGGACAGTATTATTCTGATCCACAGGCCTCCCAGTCTGGTGGCCTGAAACAGACAATACCAACTGAGGCAATGTCACCAGCACTAACAATCATCTCCAACAATGCTTTCCATCATACTTTGGCTGCTTGCAACCCACCATGTTTAACACATTCACAACCTAATCATCCAGTATTCAGTCAGTATTTTTGGCACGCTTAAATCAACCATCATTTACATTTTAACCAGTTATGTCCCCACTTATTTCAACAGTTTTGATCCTGGTCTCTGTGCTCTTCAATTTAAGACACTGCAAAAACATCAATTCTTTAATGAACTGTGGAGATCTGGTTTTAGCTAATCACTTCCACGGGACACACAGTATTAAGTAGGATTTTAGGATTTGAACAAACATTTAAACATAAAATGTGGATATATTATTGTACATATTGAAATATTAAATGATATAATATAACAATATATTAATGTTAATTACATTAACATTGATATATTGTTGTAGTAAATCATGAAATGTCCTATGAATGTTATGTGTTTAAACTTCATTAAGCCAAATTACACATCCAGACAGAAGAAGAACAGATGTTCAGAAATGGCTGTTGTGCAGATCAGTGTAACACAGCCTGTTTGATTCAGAGTCATTGCTTTGGTGTCGTTTCACTGGATCACAGTCATAGACAGAGAGAGTACCCTGGTCAGTAGGGGAAGAGTTTGAGAACAGGCAAAGGCTGTATGAGATGATCTTATTTGGCTGGGTTGATATGTCACACTTGTTGATTTCTATTTCAATAACCAACTTTTAGTTTGTGTTTGAAGCTCAGGAAGTTGAATATGTTTTTTGTAGTACGGAGCTGTGACTGACCTTCAGAGTAACACAGATGACATTGAGAGCATCTTTGATCTGCGGATGTTGAGTCCCGTGAGCCAGCTCTTCACACAGCCAGATGCCCAGACTGCACAAAGCCACACACCTGACAAAACAAAACGTGTTGTGAGTGTAGACATGTATGTAAAAACAACCAGAAAACAATTTAAAAAAAAATGCTTTTTACTTTACTTTAAGGCACTATATTATCAACAGGTAATCAGTTGATTTCTTACACAGGACACCTGTCAATTAAAAAACTGACTTGAAGTAAAATGGTGCACTTGTTAAAATTCAAAACTGTAATTACAGGGACTATGTATAATTAATAATGTATGTTAATGTGTGTTAATGTTAAAAATAATTTATTTAATAATTCATTAATTTAATTTCCAACACACCAATCATTGTAAGGGAGAGTGGACACTATTTAATTAAGGACTGCTTGAATTTCATTACATTAGACAAGGATTTACACATGCAAGCATGCACATGCACAAACATGCGCACGCACAGGCACACGCACAATATTTACCTAGCAGGAGCAGAGGGTTCGTCCCTGGCAGAGGTTAGAATGGTTTTGATAATGTGCTCCTAGAAAACAAAGAACACACACAAACACAGTTAATTTTCCTAACACCAAACAAACCACTGGTTGTGTGTGTGTGTATGTTTATATCTGCATATGCAACATCTTGTTCAGGTCCCCGACACAACGTTAACCTTTCCTGAAGGTATAATGAAGAGACGTACTGGTGCTTAAACACTGATTGCTTTTTAGACAATAAGAAAAGTTATTCATGGAATTACATTGAGGTGTTATTATATATTATAAACACACGCTAAACAAAAGATGGACACACCGTCACAGTACAGACAAATCCACACACACCCTGAGACACATTCAGACACTCGCTGGTCCCGTCCCTCCGGTCAGTGGTAATGACCGCTTAGTGATTCAAAACAAGTTTCTGCCTTGTAAGAAACCAGTGAGTAGGCCCAAGGTGCTGCCATGCATGACATTAACTGTTTACGCAGCAACAACAACAATAACAACATTACTCCCATAGCTCTGGACTGTTACAAGAATGGCTGATGAGGCATTAACCTATCAGTTTGGTTTTGAGACCCCCTATAGACAGCTGACGTGTTAAAGGTTTGGACTGACCTGGATTATACACAAAGTAGGTTGACCCTCTGCTTTGGTATCAAACTGACACATTTGGAGTTAGCAGAAGCAGAATAGCACTTTAATGGTACAATCAAACTCTTCTCAACACTAATTTGGACATTAAAGTCGTCAGTGACAAGAAAGAATAAAATCAACTTTGTATATTTAGTGGTAGCTGCTTAGAAAAAGTTGTTATTTTTCTGAAAACATTTTATCATTCCTCTCTTTACCTATTGCACTGTGGTTTCCTGTATTAGTGTCCAAAGGATAAGGATGTTGCTCGTCTTATTAACTACCCCTCAATCCCAAACAACCATTACTTCCACTGACCTTGACGTCAGGGAACTTGGTAAGCACCACGTCGGCTGTGGTGGGATGAAGGGCTGGAAGCTCCCCATACAAGTTGGGAAAACACACCAGAGAACCAAGGAGGATCTGAGCCTCTACTCTTGGGGCCTGGAAAAGAGAAGGGGGAGGGATAAAGACAAAAATGAAAGGCAAATTAAATTACAAAAGAAATAAAAAATACATCTGTATGTCATCTTGTACTATACAGGTGTGCCAGACTTTGTTTGGCCTTAATTAAATAAAATCAAGTAAAACAGGCGTGTTTCTGTGTTTCCTACATTGAGCGATGAGCAGGCGGTAACCCTTGAAGCTGCAATGATGAAGTCCAGGATCAGCATGGTGGCTCCAGGCAGACCGATACTGAAGAACCTGGGACTGCAGTGCTTGATAATGGTGTTCACAATGTCCTGTTAAAAAAAAAAAAAAAAAAAGAAAAGAAAAAAAAAGAACATTTTTAACACACTCCTCTAATATTGCAGTCACAGCTAAAGCACATTTGCATTTTAAAAGATCATGTTCCATTGTTTTTTCTGAAGCAGTGTAACCTTAACCAATATTTATTTTCTTTTCTATTCCATGCATTCTTCTTCCTTGTCAAAACCTGGTGCCTACATTACCGACAATGCAAATCAACCACTAACAGTTCAGTGGGAGATTCATGTGTGTAATGCAAGTAGTAGCTAATGTAGCCTCAAACGGAGATGAGGAGAAGGTTACAGAGGTCTGTTAAGCTCAACTCTAAATCACCATGTGTCTTTCATTGTCAAGTGACATCACTTGAGGCAAATTTATCAAACTTCATGAAGCCAGCCAGAGCCATAAAAGATATACAACTTTTTTTGCACATGCAGTACTCACTGCATGTGCTACTAAAGCTGTTCTGTAGATAGACTTTGATCTGTAAAATCAGTGGTGTTTCCCTTTAAATAGTGCAAGAGTGATAAATAAAATATTTAAATGCATTACAAATGTAATCTTGTTGAAGTTGCACACCCTGTAAATCAGATTCAGGTCAATAAAAACAGATCTACCTGGTCTTGGTGCAGCAGCCCTTGGTGCATGATGTTATAGAAGTGTGTAACGAAGTCTGTGTTTGGGGAAACATCCTGCCGTCTCTTCATGATCCTGCAGATCAGCTTGTAGGCGTGAAGTTTCCCCTGCTTGTAACGCTCTGTCAGCATGGTGGCCTTAAGAAAAAAAAAAACAAAAAAAAACACACACACCTATAAGTGAGCATAAACAGACAAGACATACAGACGGGACAAATTAAAGGAAAAAGCTGGAAAATAATGTGGGAAAAGGGTGACAATATCCCCATCCACAGGGCACGAGGGGTCACTGAATGGTTTGATCCTACAGTGATGGACTCAGTCGCACCTACCTTAAAGAGCCAGGGGGTGAGAATCCTCAGGGGAGGGATCAGAACAGGGGGAGGTGGAGATGACTGGTTGTCCAGAGAAATGCCCAAATTATCTCTTATCTGAAAAGAAAAATCCAGATTTTTACCCACACAATCTTTATAGTGAGTGTTCTGTTGTAGTTGTGTATCAACTGTATGTGTCAGTGCTTACCTTGGCCAAGTTTTGCCACAGTTCACACAGGTAGTCGAAGACCTGAGCATGGATCTCTGGGTCTTTGATAGTATTGACATCCCCCAGGATTCCCAGCATCCTCCGCCACATTACTGTGGCAACATCTGCGTGCCAACCAGTTAGAGAACCACCCGCCATCACACTGCAGTCCTCGCTGGGGAACTCACTGGTTTCTAGAGTCAATCAATGAATCAATTAGTGACTCTCTTCCCTCATTCACAGCTGTAACCTTAGTGTGGAAGAAAATGTAGAGGTACATGTTTGAATGTGTGCCTGAGTATTACCCAAGTCATCAGGGGTCTGAAGGACAGAGTTGTGGAGCTTCTGCTCCAGCTGTAGGTGTGTGTGAGAGTGGGAGTGTGTGTGTTCAGTGTGCTCTGCTGTCAGCGTGGCAGGGGAGGGCGTCTGGGACCGAGAGCCACCGAGAGAATGCATTGGAGAAGCGCTCTCAGAACCTAGACAAGACGACACATACACGACAAGGAAACATGAAAGAAAAGATGAATAACTCCTGATTATGATGCCAAAGAACCAGATGTCTCTCGTTTCTTTCTACAACTTGTGGTTCAAATGTTATCAGCAAAATTGTACATGTGCTTTCTATGATTAACTTTTGTAGCAGATCTGTGTAATTTCGTTGTGGCATTTCAGATGGAGACTCAAAATCTGATTTCTCTTAGAGGGATGTAAGAGACATACATCACTTTAGGGAGGAGGCTGAGGAAAAGAAAAGTAAACAAAGCTTCAGCTCCTCAGGATTTAATTCAAATAAAAAGATGGGGGAAGTTACAGCTTATGTACAAGTTCGTGGAGAAATGTATTTACAGTGCATATGCACTTAAGTGTTGTGAATAATTATTTATACATACACATACTATGACAATTATATTCTATATGCATATTAAATAATATACAATATGTACATGATGTAATATACAACATTGAAGGTAATGGTCCGTGTATATATAACAGATCTACAGAAATATAGTCACAGAAATCTTCATGTTACGGATATTAATTACCAGTAACAGTGACAGTATGGCTGAGGCTGCTGGTCTCTGAGTCGATGTGAAGTGTTGTCAAACTCGCCACTTCGTGTTCTTCACAGGCCGCACCCCCACCCAGGCTGTCCTGGTCCAGTGAGCTGCCTCGACCTTCTCCTCCAGATCCAACTCCTTTTCCACAAGCTTCTGAACTGAAAGTAAAATCTACAGGAAAGGCACTGAGTAAGTAGGTCGTTAAGATAAAGTTACCCAGCAGGCTCTCTAACCGCTAACTGCTGCATAGAGAGTGAGTAACATAATGATAGAAATTATAGATTATTACTTTTTAACCTACAGCAATATGACAAAAACAGCATGGCAAAAGAGCAGCTACATAACTGAGGCTTTTAAACTTAAACTGATGAAGAGACATGTCTTGCTCCTTTAATTTTGATGCTATTAAACTTTTGTTCTGCTTTATCAAAATGATGAGTCTTTATATTAAAAATGTATCAAGAATCTTTGTTTCTTACTATCAAACTTGCAGTTGGAGTACTGAAAGGCATTAAAGGAGTCTGATTGGCTGTCTGAGCTGATGACATCAGAACCGCTGGCACTTGCAGGTGACGTCCACTCAGAGGGAACCCCTGGATCATCGATAGGCCGAAGATCATCTGAGGGTCGCGATCCAGGACTCTGACCTGCCTCCAGGAGTTCGGGCAGGTCCCTGGGAACCTCCAGACTCCCTGGGCTGCTGCCACGGCGGCCCTGTGTGTCGAGGAGTAAGCAGAGGTTGTAGCTTCTCTGTTTCGTGACAATTAAACTTTAATCTTTACGCGTGTATGTTGCACTGACTACTGTTCCTTTGGCCCTCAGTCTCTCCTGGATGAATTCATCCATGAGGTCAGAGAAGTTTGGGTTGCTGCTTCCTACGTCACTGGAGACCGGACGGGCTTTCTGGACCACCTCCTCTTTGTTGGCTACACACACACACACACACACACACACACACACAAACACAAACACACATTAAGACATAAAGGCAGATAGATTGCGATAGTCAAAGACAGGGGTACACTCATACTCACACACGTTCACAGGAATGATGGACAAATGATAAGACGCAGACGAGTGAGATATGGACAAATAAATAGGGAAAGAAATGTGAGAACACACAAAGATAGAGACAGGAACAGGTTCATATCCACTCAAACAGCTCAAAAGACAAAAAACTATAAGTAATAATAAGTAATAAGGAATTTGTAACATATTTATGTAATCAGGTCTGACTTGCTGATAAAGTCTATCAAAGTGCAGTTTGTACTGGTCTAAATCAGGGATATGGTGACATTTTGTTTTTGATCAGAAACTCACACTGTCATCCCCAACACCATCCCTGTAGCATCGTTAGCAGGCTAAGGTTTTTTAAGCTTAGAACTGCTGCTGATGCTTGATCAGATGTTATATTAAAATGTCACAATATCCACACAACAAACTTAAACTAATTTAACTGATGTAGTTTCTCTGGATTGTAAGAGCGGTCCTGATGTGTATGCACTGTAGGCCTTGCCTAGGCCTTATCAAAAGACTGATGTTAAAAAAAAAAAAAAGCCACAACACAGCAGGCACATCAAACCCCACCAGAAAAGCAATGCAGGAATTAATTCACACCATGCACATAGAGCGAGAGAGAATATCACCTTGTTAGCAGGTATGTTACTATGAGTTATGTTGCTGTTAGCTTGGAGGCGATGATAGCGGTCAGTGTGAGAAAACTCTTGATAGCAGAGAGCATCCATCAACCCCAAGTTAGATAAGTGTAAATCTGTTGCACGCAGTATTAACTAACTAATCTTTTATTCCTCAACCCGTGGATGATAAAGCTGACAGAGCCTGGTTTCATCCACGGCTCAATACCAAGACTTTGATCAATAAAGCTTAGTTACTGAAAATCCCTACTTCTCTGTCACCCTGCAGATGAAAATTTCACCTTGCTGCACATTTTTTTTCCTTAAATGATTCAAGACTGGAAAACTCCACTCACACCACGGCCACCACAGAACAACACAGGCTGCCCTGCCCTGCCCTGCGGGAGCAGTGATACATCACTCTGTCTCTCCTGGATGTAATTAGATGTGCAACAAAGTTGAAACTTTCAGCCCACAAAAGGTCAGTGCAACGTCGAATTTCTGTCATTAAAGCTTAAGCTGTTTATTAGAAGATCAGCATCTCGCTGCGGTGATCACAAGACAGAGCTAAAGTTAGGAGCAAAGAAAGTTAACAATTTAACAAAGCCCAAATTTAATTTTGTTCAGGTTAATTCAGCTGAATCATTAACTTTTAACATTTCTGCTTGTTCACACGCATAATTAGTATGTTATTCAGATATCTCTTCTAGCCCAGGTGTTAAATACTATGAATTTAGCTTTGTCTACTGGTATACTATTTTACTGTAATGGTTATTTGCCATGCCATCACCAACAGCAACAGGAAGTACAATATGTTGGCCTGAAAAATCAGATCCTAATTGGTTTCTCAGTTAAATTACCGTTTAATAAAGGCCTAAAAAGGATTGCCACTGAGGTGCAAATAAAAAGTAGCAGTACAGACATGCTAAACTGCGATGTTAGCTGACACTATAATAAGATTATGCACATCCTTTGCCCTCTAACATAGCTTTATGGCTTTGCAACTTTTCTTTGCAGGTCTGTGCACTAAAAATTAGCATGTACCGTATTTGCTCAGCCCATCAGGATGAGATATTTTTGTGAGAGTAATGCTACTCTGTGTTTGACAATGATTCCCCAAAACTCGCCAATGAAACACTGTAAGCTTTCCTGCCAATTAGCTAGCTGCTGAGGAACAAGTCATTGCTATTCTGTAAGAGAGACGGTCCAAACTAGGAGCAGAAACACTGCACTGGATTACACTACAGCTCTGACAGCACCGTGCAGCAGAGCAAACTAGAGAACCGACAGAAGACTCTTGCATCATTGAGTAGCTACAAAACTACAGAAAGCTGACATCTTGTGAAACAGCACTTTTTGCAGCCAGTCAGTCACGTCAGCTCAGTGCAGGGTGGAGGCCCTCACGCTTGATTGTCGTTTGGCAAAACAAGCAGATATTATGACGATGCAAATACAGCAAGGCACACTACACTAGACATCTGGAAGAAAAGTAGACAAACCAAACAAATAGGCAAAACGACTGGTAGGTACCATTTGGCACGAGTTGGCAAGCAACAGACCTAGAAAAGAAAAAAGTGTGGCTGCGCAACAGTAACTCCACATCAAGACAGATTCAGGTGATGAATCTGTGCTCATATCTAGCATCTGATTCTCAAGACATAAATGATTTCCCCCCAGGTCTGAAGTCTTTCACCCCAAGAATTAGAATGAATAGAAAAAGGGTACTGCTGATTCAAATGTGCAGTTTACCAATCATCTTGATATTAACCTGTGGCAGTGTACAAGGCAAATAACCATACCAGATTGGTGATTTGAATGTGCATACCTTTTCTTATCCATTCAAATTCTGTGTGTATACCACTATTATAAAGACGGCCATTTTCACATCAGGTCTTATGCTGCATCCTAGTGGTCTGAGGATGAACTGCAGCAATATGTTCACACTACATTTAAGTGAATGCATTTTTGCTCTTCTAAAATAATTCACATCACTGATGTTCCTTTATGAACTAAACTTCCGTAATGTAAATCTAAATGCAACAAGGCTCTGAAGATGGAAAATGCCATAAAACATTTGGGGGCTTTCTGTTGGGTATTGTGTCTATTTTTTTTGTTTGTGCTTTTATCTTTTCTACAGGCACTTATGCTTTTCTGTGGATTGTTGTTTCCTTCTGTACAGCTGAAGAGGGGCCAGAGTCCGGGGAGGAGGCGAAGGACGAGGCACGACGAGGTCGCATGCAACAATGAGGAGGGAGGAGGAGGAGGTGGAGAAGGGGGAAAGGGGGAGAAGAGGTTAAAATCCCAAAACCCTAAGAAGAAAGACAGGAGGAGGAGGGAGGGGCTTCTCAGGTAGAGGAATAAGTGGGAAGGTATGGGAGGAGGGAGGTCCTTGACAGGAGGCAGGCTGGAGGAGGGGCTACGTTCAAGAGGAAACACATCAACAGGGAGTTGAATTTCAGTCCAGCAGCAAGATGATGAGTGTCAGCCAAAAAAAAAATCATTCCATCATAACAAACCAGTTAAAAACAGCCAAAAAGGAAAAGAGAGTTGTTGATGTTTGTGTTTTGTGAGTATTTGTCTCTCCTCAGTTGTCTGCTGTGTCCTTTATGAGCGCTTCGTTCGTTGCAATCCTCACCTGGCGTGGTTGTCTTTCGCCCAAAGTAGCCCAGGACGTGGGAGTAGAGGTCTCTTAGCGATGCGTCACCCATGGCGGCCCGGCCCTGCCGCTGTGGCGACGAGCCTTGGGATGACCCCTGACCTCTGGGCCGGGGCTTGGAGGACAGAGCGTGAACCACAGTCTTATAGACGCCACCAAGGAGGGCCCCCTGGTGGTGGCGTGAGGCAGTGCTGCCTGGCTCCTGGGAGCGTGAGCGGGAGGCTCGAGATCGCAAGGCTGAACGTCCCAAGCGGCCACGCACCCCTGACGTCACGCCTGAGGAACCTGAACCGCTTGATAACACCTCTGAGTGAACCTGACCCTCAGAGCCCAGACTGGATCCCACAGAGGATCCAGGAAGTTGCTTGTCCTTGTCCCCTTCACCCCCGGCCCTGTTTTCCAGACCTCCGGTGCTTGCTATGCCCCCTGCCCCGCTGTTATCCGAAAGAGTCCCAGAGGCTAATTTCTCATGTGCCCCTGCTCTGTGGCTAATCCCAGCCACAGAGCCAAACTTACCTGCACCCCCTGCTCCCAGCTTGCCCCCTGACCCCACACCAACGGCCCCTGGCCTTTCCCCTGCTGAGTGGCTGTGTGTGTGAAAGTGACTGAGGCGGCGCAGCCTGGCTTTCCAGTGAGCCTCTTTATTCTCAAGGGGGTTGTGGAACTGGACGGACTCAGTCGCGGGCCGGAAGCTGACGTGAACCCCCCCAGAATGGTGCCTCTTAGTGATACTACGGGGCACCTTGTTCTTAATTGGGTCTGAAGTTTGGGTAGGTTGATTTGATTCAAGACTAGATTCTACCATGTTAGTATCTTGTCTGATTAAACTGGGCCTCTGATTTCCTGCTGCTTCTTTTTCATCCTGTTTCTTGTCTCCTACTTCCCTCCACATATCACTTTTCCCATCCCATCCTGCTGCCCTCCCTGTGTTTGATCCTCCCTTTTTCTCCCCAGTGTTTCTTTCTAAGCTAGCACTTCCCTTAGCATTGGGTGATGGCCACTGACACTGCAACTCCAGACACTCATAGATGCTCCGCTGCTCTGTCTCATTCTCCTCTATTGAATCAACACTGCTGTGTCTCACTGATTTACTTACCTGTCTGTCCTCTGTACAAGTCTGTCTGTCCCCTCTTACCACCTGTCTTGCCTCTCCTACCTGTCCTGTGGATTCTATTAGTGTTCGAGCTACCCCTGTTTGCACGGGTGCAGGTAAAGTAACATTGTTCTCTAATGTATGAGCAGGACTATCTCTCTCTCCAGCCTCCTCCTTCTTCTCAATTCCCTTGTGAGTGAGGTAGTCCCTAATAGAGGAGAATAAATCCTCCTCTTCTGCCCCAGCTCCTGTTTCACCCTCTTCTGCATCAATTTCCTTTTCAGATGAAAAGGTGAAAGCAGAATCCCAGTCGCTTACCCAATCAGAGCTAGAACCTCGGCTTCGAGAGCCAATCTGGTGCCAGAACTGGTCATAAACACCACTATCATCTTGTCCCTCTGAAGTTGAGGAAACAACACCATTGGAGAGGGTAAAGGGGGTAGGAGAGGGGGAGGTGAGAGGGTGTGGGAGTGGCTGAGCTGCGTGGCTGTTGGCTGCGAGTAAAGAGGAAGTTGTAGAGTGGTGGTGGAGAGGGGGGGGATTCGGGATTGAACAGGGATCCCTCTGAGGGTCTTCACCTTTGACCCGCTCGGCGATGAAAGGCTCCATGATGTCAGAGGCACTGCTGCTCCTTGCGAGGGAGGAAGGGGCCGGGGCATCCAGGTCACAAGTCCTGCCCTGGAACACCTCAGAACAGGAGGTAGGAGGGGCCTCGTCGCTCTGGGAGGAATGACGCATCCGAGAAGTGCGGGATGTCAGCGTAATTGGCGGGTCCTCAAGGTCTGTTGATTGGGGGAAGACGAAGGAAGGGGAGTGAGGTTAGTAGGGAGAAAATGGGAATGGACACATGTAAATGCACAAATACACACTAAATGAACAAAGTCTCAAATAGATAGCCAAATAAGAACCTGCAAATACAAAGACATAAACACAGTATGATCGATGCATGGAAACCTGTTTCTGAAGTGGTTAGACAAGATTACAAGATAGTGCACAAGAGATTTGTATCATAGATAATTTTATTTTAAAACAAATAGAACTTTTCAATGAAGGTTTATAAAAAATATATACATACTGATGATATTCATTTCAATCCTTAAAGTACTGTGGCTGCCAAAGCTATTTCATCTCTGGTCCTTCATTAAATCAGAGTCATGACTGAGATAAAATGTAAACTAGATTCATATCGGACATCCCAAGGTTATACATCAATCTGGGATGTTAGAGCCAAATCTGTTGTCAAGCCTTTGTATACAACAACTTTTGAGACTTTTCATTTAGAGCACTGGTTTTTAGTTTTTTTTATCAGTATCCGTCTGGGCTGATGCCACTTTGTAGATACAGCTAACACATCGGAATAGCAGTTTGTTCCAACTTCATCAACTTTAACCAGCTAACACCGTCTACCAGTACAAGAAGAAAACACATTTATGACAAACACAAAAATAAAAACTACCTTTCTATTTCTTCTTTAATGACATTCATGTTTACTTTGCATAACTTTAAGAGATCTCCAAAAACACACACACACACATGCACACACACACACACACACGCACACGCACATGCACACCAAAAGCAGCAAACATAATAGTTAAGTAAATTCCCATTAGGAGAGGAGACTGCATTATAAACCAAGTACATTGAAACGCCACCCCAAGAAAAAATGGCATCAAATTAAATATCACACCAGACATCAGTGGTCGGGAGAACAACGAGGAGAGAAAAGAAACGAGGGCAAATAAATGTTTGTATAAGGCAGAAAAGAGTGCATGCATGAGAGCTATGCATGTGTGCATGCAGGCAGATAAGTAAACGATGCAGGCTAACAGGCAGAGAAACAAGCAAGCAGACAGGAATACAGGTGGGCCAAGTTACATATAGAAATGTAAACAATAGAAACAGAGACACATGAGCTGTCTCCATCTATCTGATAAGATTTCTAATTTACATCAAAGCATTAGTGACATTATATTTGTAGAACAAAATCAAAACAGCAGATGTTATTCTTTGGTAGCAGTTAGGCAATATTTCATTCTCTTACTAGGCAAAATCCAAATGCAGCAGCTAATGTTCAAACCACAAGAGTAACTAACTTAAACATGGAGGACACATTTAACAGTTGTGTAATAAGACAGTGCCACTTTAGGCCACTCATAATAAACCAATGTGATTATTTGTTACTCCTAGGGCAAACAAGTGACACAGTATATAATTCTCTATATAAAAACACTGACTGAGACTGAGTTACAAACAGACAAATACATCTGTCAGCTGAGTGACTGGAAATCAAACACAGGAAAGTTGGGCGTGCTTTGTTTTGCATGCTCTAATTTACCAGCCCATCGCTTAATTAAGCCTTCTCCAGAAACAGAATATTCTCGTTTCACCTTAAGCAAGTGACTCTTCAGTGTTACTCACACGGCATCTGTCCTTTAACACCTTGGGACTGATAGTATGCTGAGACAACTTGGAAAAATATCTCAACTACTCACTCATTTTTACCCCTTAAGTTGGTGCTACAATATGCCATAATCATCCATTTGTCACAAAAACTTCAAGCAATTCTGATCAGATTTTTGCACAAAATATCAGGAAGAATGATGCGCGTTTGATGTTCAAGCATTTCTCAAAATCACACTGCTCAAAAAGGGAAGAGCTGTAATATTGCTGAAGGACAACATCCAAACAGTTGCCTCAGTAATGATAATCAGATATCCAGAAAAATGGACAGACAGAGACAAGATGACAGGCATTAAGGTTCAGTTTCTGACAGACGTGTAGACGACTACAGTTTCCAGGCAGACAGGTAGTGCAAAGAGTGTGTACCTGCCAGCTGGTCGGCAAGGGGGGGTAGTAAAGGGTGGTGGTGGTGGAGGAGGACAGGAAGAGGCGGAGCCAGAGCAGGAGCACTCTTAGCACTGCGGATAAAGGCTGAGGACAGCAGAGAGTCCCCCGTAGAACAGCTACGCAGGGCTGAGGAAGTGGAAGAACAGATAGAAGAAAAGGGGGAGCAGTGTGAGACAGAAGAACGCACAGAGGAAGAGCAGAGGAACAGAGAAGGCAGTGTTGAAGTCAAAGAAAAGTGGACGTATGGGTGGAAAATAGATGGAAAAATGAAAGGAATGAAAAAAGAACATGTCAAAATTCAGTCCAGAAAAATAAGATAGTAAATAGAGCAGGAAAAAAAGAAGGGTTGGAGGAAAGAAAGTTTTGAGAAGAACAATGAGAGACAGAAATAGGTGGCAGTAAATAAAAGATATTATTTATGAGGTAGAGACAAACAATAGAGAGGCAGTTTGAGGAGAAAGAGGAGAAGTTTGTCAAAAGACAGGCAGGCGACAAGACAGCGAAGAAAAGAGGAAAGTTCACGGGCAGATTTAGAGGGAAAGACAACGAAGGTGAAGGAGGAGTGCGACAGGGTTAACTTTGGAAGAAAGACAGTGACACAGTGAGAGGCTGGTGGCAGCTTAGCCCTCTGCACAGCCAAGACCCCGTCATTAGACCGCAACACACAGGAGCACTACATTTTTAATGCTAGTCAGGTACACAGCTGAATTGAAAAATTAGGTAGTTTACAAGTTTGTTCAAATTTATGACTTTTAAATACATTCTCCGTTGAATATTCGACTCACAGAACATTGCATAACAGATACACATCTGCAACAATGTTGTTTAGCACGAGTGGACTCATTTCTCACAGTAAAAACACACTGAGGAACCTGTTCAAGTGGTTCTGAACACATGTATAGGCATTAGAAACTTCTCAGCAATGGTCAATTCTATTAAGGGTTAGTAAATATATTAACTTGACATTATAAGATTTTTTAGGTTTTTTAACAGACACCCTGCCAACAGTATCAACGACAGTATCCATAATAATTTTACATGTATCATTACACATGTATCATCACTGGGAACCGAAGTAGAGGTTCCTGATCAACAGGCAAACATCAAGTGGCCAGAAAAATTTTAATAAAAATATATTTGATGGGTTGTGTGCTTGTAATTTGCCATGTTCATACGTGCTTTTTAGAAGGTTTTGTAAATAAGATTTTGAACAATAATATAGAATCAAACAACTATTTTCTATGTAAAGATATAGTGGGGAACTGAACTCCACTGAAGGAACCACATTTTCATCTGAAAAGGCCTCCGACAAAGAAAATGACAAAACAAGAACACAGGCAGACTGGACAAGGAGACTGCTGGTTCAAATCCTGGTCGGTTGATACACCGTCAAAACATCCACAAAGCTTTTAAGGTTCGTCTGTGTCATTTGTGCGGCCAGTCCCAGCAGATAAGTCCATGGCTGAATTTCTTTCCCAGTCCGACCGTGAAGCCAATACTGGTCTGGCTTTACCGAGATGGAGAGACCTACGAGCTAGACTCCAGCTTGAGTCAAAGCTTTTCTCCTCCTCAACGTGTTAATAACTTCATGTGTTCATAATGTTACATGTCTGTTTTCATAAGTGAGCAGCTACAGAAGGGATGATAACATGAGCTAACTTCTTGTTACAGATATTATGAATGTGTTTGGCTAATGTCGCTATCTCTAGCTGGCTTGCTGCCATCGCTGCTGTGGAGAATATCACGGCAATGCTAGCGTGGGCTAATGGTTGCGGCTAGATTGTTTTTGTTGGCTGTCGCATCAACAGGGTAACTTTTGTTGTGTGTTTAGTGACCGTTTTCACTGGGCTTGCCGACTGAGAATGTGGAGGGAGGGAAGGGGGGTTGTGGCCAAACAGAGGCCGGAGATGTGGCCAATGAAGCATTTGTTTTGGTCTGAGATGCTGGTGGTTGAGTGCGACATCTTGTGGCGGTGACGATCATTCACAGAGCGTTACAAGAAAATAAATGTGTATATTATATGGGGTGCTGTTTGGTAAAAACAAATACAGGATTACTACTTTTACCAATATAACTTCTGAATAAAATTACTACTTCAAATTCTACATTACAGTGTCAGTTTTTAATGTCTTTCCACCTACAGAATATCCAACTTTATTCTGTGATTTTTTTTCACATAAGTCGTCATCATCTTGCTCTGAGCTACAATAGTTATTTTTGTACACTGGTGTTGTGACTATTTCCCTCACACAGTTGAAGGCTTCACATAAACAAGATTACTCTGAGAAGAGGGAATGACAGAAAGCATACACCTTAACTTCCTGTCAGACACACAGGAAGGAGGAGAAAAGCAGAGGAGGTACGTCAAGTCAAATAAAACTGACATGAAAGGAAAAAGAAGCCACATACAGTGCACTGAGTACTAGCTTCCCCCTATTGAGCTCCCCTTGAACCAGCCAGTTTTACCAGGATACACAGAACAATGTCTGGGAATCTGTGCTTTGAATGGGGCTAATAGCTCAATTTTCATGGCCGAATGAATAAGGCCTTTCCTCACACACGAGGAGGGTGGACAACTAGGCAGGGAAATACTGACCTACAGTCTTCTGGCGGACAATACTCCTGGCTTTTTCGATGCCTGGTGAGCCAGCGGTGGTGGCACTTCGCTGTCTCATTGCTGCTGCCTGGCCGGGTTGATCTCTGCTCCAGCCTTTAGAGAAGGAACGATCCACAATCTGCCGCTGGCCCTCTGAACCGATACCTTGTGTATGAATGATGGCAATTTGAGAAGGAAAGTTGTCTTGTCAGTGCACATCACAAAGAGTTGCAGTTGGCTCTGGTTAACGTGATGCAAGAATAGGACTGGCTGTGTTTCAGACCAGCTGTTAGGAAGTTGTATGTGTCTTTACAAGGTCTGTGAGAGTCTCTGGTGATTGACCAACCTTTTCCTTTATGTTTCTTCTGTTTTTGCTCACTGAGTTTGTCCAGAGGCAGCTCGTTGAGATCAACATTGTACAGGTTCCTGGCCAAGACCTACGAAACGAAGACACACACGCTGCTTCAACACTTTCAACACACTAACAGCAGAGCTTGTAAGAGACAGCATGAAAGATGACAAAGGCAAAATAAACTAGCATAAAGACAGGAAGGGAAGTGCCGCTTCCTTCAATTAAGTTCACCTCTGCTTCTCTAATGACTGTTTGTGACCGGCAGATGTCGCAGTCAGTCACTGAACTGAAAAACTCAGCTGACTTGCTCTGAATGAAAATCATTAATAAAACAATTTGTTTTTATTTCCTAGTCAAGGCAGTCAATGATTCCTCCTAAAGAAGCCTGCCTTTAAAATATTAAATCCTCCTTTATATCCTATATCCTCCTGTTATGTGCTGAAATCAGAAGTGAAATAATTTGTTTGATCATGAAAAAAAATCCATATCATATCATATCCATACACACTGTGCTCAGTACCTTGGTGAGGGTTTCCATGGTGAGAGACCACTCTGTGACCAGTTCCTCCCAGCAGGTCAGAGAAGAGAGGACAGAGAGGAGGTCGTCCCATAATTCTCTGCTGATGTAGACGTTTAAATTCCCCTTAATCCAGGCTACTATCAGCGTCTTTAAGGAAAGATTGGGGTGAAATGATAGAACGTCATATTAGAAAAGGTTCTAATCCATCTCCCTACTCATCAAAACTAAACACTAGTCAGGTGGACCATTAAACCAGTGACCTATTAAACTTCATTAAGGCGTTCAGAAAATAAGTTTGCATCTTAGAGTAAACAGGACTTCTTTTAGATTTCTGTTTTCTGAATAAAAGAGATGAAGGCCACTTGATAGTAATCTACTCTTTTATTATATGATTACAACATTGCCATGAGTGCAGCATGTGCTTTTACACAATCTACAGTGACAATAATATACTGTTATACTGTTTTCATAGGCAACTATATATACAGTATTTAAAACACCACAAACCAAGAAACTTCCAGAAACTGTTTTGCTGTAAACAACAGTTTCATCATGACTGCAACAGTGATTCTATTCATTCATTTCTTTTATGTACTGCAGAGAAAACTCCCATGTGTGCTTTCCATGTTCAGTGATCATGAAAAGTGATTTGGCCTGTTTAATACAGTGATAGTGATGTACCTGAAAGATAGGTCCAGCCAGTCTGCCTGACAGTGTGTTGTTCTTTTTGCCCTGAGGCATAATAGATGGAGGTCTCTTCATCACGGACTCCGTCACCCTCAGCAGAACCAATAAGATCTGCTCCCTACAAACATATACAAGTATGCAAGTTAAAGTTTGAGCTTTGTTTAAATAATGACTAGACTTTACTGAAATGTATTTAGATGGCATTTTATGGCATTTCCCAGACTGCGTAACAAGTGTGATTTATTGTGGTTTTGCTGGTGTTTGTACAGCTTCTTTTTACCATGTTTTCTGGTCCATGGTCTCGTGCATGACAAGGCTGCGGTAAATGTTGAGGACTCGCTTGCACATGTCAACATGCTCCTCTAAAAGGATCTTGATGTCGTTGGCTGGCTCCAATAGGAAAACATTGGAGGAGTGGGTGATAAATACCTGCAGACAAGCAGAATTGTAGTTAGGATATGAAATGGATCAAAAATCACTTTTAGCGTTTTTTTCACTGCATAGTAGCGACTCAACTTGACTCCACTCCACTTTCTCGCCTTTGGTACCTGATGCTTCTTTTTCCACTGCAATTAATACCCCCTCAATGAGGCATGTAAAACTATCGTGACATCATCATCAATGCGACAGATGCATAAACAGTGGAGGATAATGAAGGGATACCAAACAGAGAAACGTCTGCACCTCCTCAACTCACCATGGCAGAGTTTTGCTGGTTGCCATACTACAAGTAAAGTACAATAAGAGAAATGTAACAGGCTACAGTGAGCAGTGTACAGTCGCCTGGTCGAGCCGAGCTGGTACCACGCAGGGGAAATGGGCTACAACAGGCAAAGGGCAACAACAACACTTTTGTGTGTACGAGTGAGACAGGAAGTCTGACACTTTTAAGTTAAAGTGAGAACCATACCTGTAGTGTAGTCTGAACGCCAGCATGAACACTGTACTCCAGCAATTCACTGTCAATCACTTTGTTCATTCCCTGAAAAGGAGAGAAGATACAGTTCAGTTTACTTGTCACATGGAGAGCTACTCAACCTGTGAAAACAGTTGTGTAATGTCTTCTTAGGAGGAACATCATCAGGGTTATCTTGGCTTGGGCATGAGAATTAAAATTTACAACAGATATTCTGTTTTACAAACTGGAGGCACAAAGTTTGGTATATTTACGTATGTGTACACACAGATCTGTTCTTAATCATCATTTATTTGAATATTGAGACGGTTTCCATTACTCATTTCAGGTTATTCCTTACCTCGTCCTCTTTGTCTCCAAGCTGAGAGCCTGAATCCATACTGCCGCCTGTGGCTATGGGATAAGGACCCTCCTCTGGCTCCTTCATGAACACTGGCTTGTCCTCGATGGAGATCCACTCCTGATAAACACGGACCACTTTTCGCATCGCTGCTGCCTCGCACATGGGAAGAAGAAACGCCTATATTGGAAAAGACAGACAAATAAATATTATCATTCAATGAAAAACAGTTAATAATGCCAGTCAAAGGTGTGACACACTGGAATAGCTACATGATGTCAAAAACAGCTCTCCTTCACCTGTCTAAAGATCTCTGTGATGAAGTTGACATTGGTTCTGGAGCTGGTCAGCACTCTCCTCACCACCTCCATGTCCGTCAGCTGTTCTTCATCCATGGAGCACAGTGAGGAGGAGCTGGGTTCCCTCTCAGTCAGTGTAGATGTGTTGGAGTGGCTCTGCTCAGGCTCGCCCCCAAGCCCCGGACACCCGGACAGCCCCATGCTGCCTCCTCCTGGCCCAGATGAACCCCCGCTACTTTCCAGGTGGCTGTCAGACCGGATCCCACCTCCGCCACTGTCATCCGAGCTGCCTGCAGAGCGAGCTGCCAGGCCGGCTGCTGCTCGCTGGAGGTCAAGAGTTACACAGGTTATACAGTGAGGTAAGAAAATAAAGAGAAACTGGATGAACAAAGGACAGTTAGTTACATTTCTAATCTACTCATGTCCCTTCTAAGAGAGGTCTGAGCATTAAGAAGTAATGTCTTGTACATTTCTGGTGATTTTAGAATGAATAGAAGAATATCTGGGTAGTTGGCATGAGCAGTCTAGCTCATTTAGTAAATCGCACAGTAACAAAACACCAGCCATAATATGTGTGTTACCTGTATGTTCTTGGGGACGTTCTCTCCCTCTGTTCCTGGGATGTGTGTGTGTGTGTTGGGTCGTGGCTCCAGCCAGAAGGAGACCAGCCAGCGTATGAAGATGACTCGGGCCTGGAGGAAGCTCTCCTTGGTGCAGTACAATGGTTCGCCACCATCCTGCTCCCTGCGGACCACACTGTAGTAGGGCTTAGGACGCATTGGAGGCACGTCTACAGGGAAAGAGGGACATCTTTATTTATGTGGTGCAGCATTACAATAACATTACTGTTCAGTCAGTGTGTTCCAGTGGTTTTCCAGCTTTACAGTATTAAGTATCTCTTAAGTGAATTCATTGTACTGACCCAGTATGGGGTTGTAGAGGCTGGTTTCCATGGCGAAGTTGGGAAAGATGTGAGGAAGGTAAAACTTCCTGAAGTGACCAAATAGGAAGCTAAAGCCACGTTCATGGTTCTCTTTACAGCGCCACTCTAGAGACTTGGCCTGGTGGATGCACACACAAACACACGCACACACAAAGACAAACAAGTTTGTGTTATAAAGAGAGCATTGCACACACAAAATAGGGTCAATTGGGGAAGCGCACCATTGTTTTAGGGGAGAATGTTGTGTGTGTGTGTGATGCATGTGATAGCAAGAAGAGGAAACAGCAGAACAAAGTCAGTTTGTGTCAGTAAGGGATGAAACTTGTATCAGCGGGGGTTAGTGATACCAGTGAGGGATTAGATAAATAATTTATCTACCACCATGTTTGTACAAGATAATGTCAGTAATTTGTTACCTCCCGTGTGTTTTGCATTAGTAGCATTAGTAAGACCTAAGAACATTTCAACAGTGTAAGCATGTTGTGTTAGCTGTGTTAGTAAGAAATTATGATAATACCTGGTTTACCATGTATTTCAGTAGTGCTTCAAGGAAGTAGGCAGTGAGGTCTTCCTGGTTCTTGTCACCTGACTGTGGAGGAACCAGTGGAGTGATCTCTTCTGGAGTCACCTGAGCTGTAGGGGGAGACGCAGGAAGACTGCTGTTAATATTACAATGAAAAGTACAATGTTGCCGCTGTGAAAAAAGTGAATGGGGTTCCAAATGTTATCCAAGATGTCAAACATACGTGTAACAGTGACTGGTTGACTTTTTTAAATAAGTTAAATGTTGAGCCCATTTATTAGTTTAACTGTGTGTGTGTGAGTGTGAGTGTGTGTGAGTGTGTGTGTGTGTGTGTGTGTGTGTGTGTGTGTGTGTGTACACTAACTCTCTGTCAAACTCAGTGGAGGGTTGATCAAAGTGTCCAGGGTGCGAGGGGTCCCATGGCAGAGGGGAGCTGGGAAGCCAGGAATCAAACAGGCGAACATGCAGAGTTGTTCACGTTCTGCATTACACTGTAACGCCTGCATCCACAGCAGGAACAGGCGCACACCTTCACGCCGGATCTACAATGTAGATGAGAGACAAAGAAGAGAGAAGAGATGTGAAGAGAAACCAAATTAGTTATTTGCAGCATTTACTTTTTTCCAAAATTGAGAAGCATTAGGATGCGGGCGCTATGACTGACAGGTAACACAAAGATAACAAAACACAGCAATACCTTTAAAGAGTTCCCAGTGTGTAACAGCTTCTTGAGAATCAGCCCTGTGGGAGAAAAAGACATTTCAGCCTGGTCATTTAAATCTTCAGTGCACAGCCACGATAATCAAAGTGAGCCAGCTTGGAATACATGAATAGCTTAAAATAAGAAGCTGTCAAACTGTGCAACATCAAGCAATTAATTTTTTACTTTGTTATCTTCTGGTGTTAGTTGGTCTCTTCACATTACATAAAATCATCTGTCATGTGAGTGGCCACACTGAAGACTGGTTAAACCTGATTCAACAACACATAGTTTTCTGGGACGATCTGATCTGTTGTACACATGTACAATATAAACTTAAAGATGTTTCAAGAGAGAGGTTGAGTGTGAGTTACCGATGCTGTGGAACTGCCATCGGCTCTGGATTCTTTCAGGCAGTAGCTGGAGGATTTTCTGGTGAAAAATTTTTTATTATCATTAGTTACAACATTTTACCATAAGACTGTGACTCTATCCATAAGACTCTATTTTAGCAATCTAAGCACATGGTCTAAGGCCCATGGAGCATGTGCATTTAGGGTGTGTCCAAATCCACTTCTTTGACTGTGGAAAAAATGTCTGCAGCACCAGGAAGAGGTTCAAAAGGGTTGTACTTCGTCTCTTAATTAATCATGGGGGTGTTTTGGGCGTAACATGCAATGGAGTAATCAAAGATCTCTAGTGGCTGTTCAAGGCTTGCAGTGCTCTCTCGCTCTGTCCATCTCTCTCTCTCATTGAATGTTCCCCCATTATTTCCCCCCCATTCCATGGGGAAAATGGAATTTAAGACAGAAAGTTTTATTTACAACCACGAAAAGCAAGACGACAAAGAAAACCACATATTCTGTCTGTGTATGATCTCCTCTGCTCCATTTAAGTATTAGAGGGGCATCTACACACAACAAACAGCGCAGTCAGAGTTGCATTGATCAGAGTGTGTGTGTGTGTGTGTGTGTGTGTGTGTGTGTGTGTGTATGTCTCCACGCTGAGTGAAATACTGCGCCATTGACTTCAGAACAGGTTTTTGTTGGTCAATAGCCCAATCACTTTCTACTGCCTCAAGACAGCAATGCACCAACAGTGTACCTGACCACACCTCTTTGAGATCAACACACCCATGGGTGCTCAAATGGGTCCGAGTACAAGTCCAATTTAAACAACATGGGCGCTGGACAGAAAAATAACAACTGCGTTGGCCTGAAACTAACAAAGACACTTGTGTTATGCTTTGGGCTGGGTGTAAGATTGATAGGGTTTAAGATAAAAGTGAATGATATAACCTGAAATCTATGTGTATCAAGATCAACTGTCCCATTTATCTTGATCACAAAGAATGAAACTATTATACTATAGATTTAAGTCAGTGTGGCATTCTTAAGTAATCAGTAATGCTATAAACTCTTCTATCAAAACACTCACTAGTCCTTAAAGTCTTAGTGTTTGGAGTATGTGGAGGAGCAAATGGAGGTCAGTAACACACACATCTGCTATCTTATCCTGGCAACTCTGAGCACCACCACTCAGTTCTGAGTGTTGCAAAATGCCAGTGGTCTTAGGCTGAGGTCAGTGTCAGCTGATGTTGTGGTACTGACCAAGACCACCAACAGAAAGTTAGAGGTCATGGAATCACAAACACTTCAGTCATTTAGTTTAATGTCAGAGTTCTATTCTGTAATCCAGCATTAAGTTAGAGGGGGCAAAACAGCACAAGTATAACATCCATCCTCACTCTACATTTGTCAATAGTTCTTCTATCACTTTGTAGGACTGAATGTTGTGAAAAAAACTATCATCACATTTAGCATAACATTTTGTCATGTAAAACATGTCATGTACAAGAAATTTGCAATATTTCATTACCTCAAAGATGAAGAGGATTGAGTCCAGCTCCTCCCTCTGAGACTTATGACCTGAAACACAGAGACCAGCATAAGAAAAAGCATAACAGCAATGACTTATTGTTTTATGTATACCTGGCCTACTCTGTTAAAGCTTTGTTTTTCCCATCAGTGAAACATACCTTTTTGCTTGAGGCTGACTTCAATGGTGACAAAGTTTTCAAAGAAGACATAGTAGATATGGGAGTAGTTCAGGTCAAAGAACTGTTTTAGCTCTGCAGGCTCTGCGTTTTCTGGAAAACAAGAGGAGAAATAAAGAATTAACTAACATACACAGACTCAGGAGAAGAACACCAAGGTCAAGATTACTCCAGAAACTTGATTCCGCAAGAAATTTCTCAGTATAGAAATGTGCTAAAAATGTTATCTGATTCTAAGTCTGTTCCCATTTTCATCCTTCATCTCATTTGTTTATAAAACTTGGACATCTCCCTTACCAGCCCCACCACTATATATACAAAACATCAAATGTGCTGCTCAGCTTGACAACCACATGTCTCTTTACCCAACTCACAAACCTGTCTGCAGTCAGAGAAAAAGTGAGTAAAATACTGCAATAAAATTAAGAGAGGAAAAGGAGAAACTGCACAATAAAAACTTACGTAATATGATTTTAAAATGGACAATAAAACCAGTTGTAGGCTCTTCTCTGTCCATTTTCAGTTTGAAGTTTTAGACTAAAATATGTCTAAACACATCTATAATAAAGAGAAAAGGCCTGTTGTGAAGATAACACGTTTCTGACTTTTCACCACAGGAAGTACATTTGAGTAATTTAATTTCATTGCAGCATCTAGGTTCTCTAAATACACTTGTGTCATTTCACAGTAGAAAAGACTCACAGTCTGGGTCTCAGCCACAGTTTAAGATGGAGACTCTTCTAAAAGATCGGAAGTTTACCTTCATGTGCTCTGGCCTGTATCTCTGCCTCAACACCACTGACTGTCATTAAAAGACAGACACACTGACTCAGACACTGAGATAAAACACATGCTCAAACTGAGGACACAACCAGCACTATAGTTCTGGGTCAACACTGAAAAAAACAAAAAAACAACCCACAAGCAGGTAGGACATAAGGTTATGGACTGACAAACACAAGTATGTTCACAGACACACAGACCCACCCACACCCACACCCACACACACACCCACACCCACACACACACCCCCACACCCCCCCCACACACACACACACACACACACACACGAGCCTCTGGTGATAGTCTCTGGTTTTGTTTATATGAAATATGAAAGCTGAACGCTGCTGCACGCACACTCACACACTGCAGCCGGCTGTGTTCTGCGCCACAGTGGTTGTCCTTGTAAGGTGTCAGTGGTCTAGTTGAGTGGTTTCTAGCTTTTTCTCTGGGGACTGACCTTGTTGCCATCTCTTGTGCAGAAGTTACTTTTCTGCAAAACCCATAGTAAATTCTTTATTCACACTTCACATGCATGAACAATGCGATGTTGGGTAACAGAGGTGAGCTCATATATTTGAGTCGTAACGGAGACATAATACTGTGCAAATGTTTTGGGCACTTTAGATTCTTGGTCTGGGATTACATGAAGGGACGGATGCAATTATCACATCCTAAATCCACAGAGGAACTGTGCCAAGTTTTCCAGGATGCTTGGAACAATTTACCTGCCAAGCACCTTGAAAAACTGCAAGAGTGTACTGCTGAGAACTGGTGCCAATTTAAAGGCAAAGGATGGTCACAGTATACAATATTGATTTGATTTAGTTTTTTTCTTTACTGCACTTTGTATGAAGTTAACTGATAAATAAAAACTACTCATGGCATTGTTTGTGAAAGTATCCTCCCTTTACTTTCAGTGTCTAAGACTTTTACACAGTACTGTTACCTACTGTTCAATATTACAGTCAACAAGTCTGAACCAGTCATCTATAAAATGACCTGCTTTAGTCTGAGGTCTAAATAAAGGTCTGGTTTCTGACTACAAACTGTACTGTATACTCTGAATAACAAATACCATTAGCACTGCAAACGTTTAAATAAAAACATGTCCTTCTCTTGTATCAACAACAGAGCAAAACAGGGCTTGGGAGCAGTTACTTAATAACCAGATTGCATCAAAGGGATTACAAAGGAGTGAAATATTTTCTTGTTTAATCATTCTTTCAGATCAGGTGTGAACTATTCTATTACAAACCTTTAAAAAATTAGCCAAAACTAATAGTGCTCACTCTCTTGTTTCCTACTATGGCAAAGGTAAACATTTTGCAGCTGGTAAAGAAAACTGTTTTCATGAGAATGATGCTACATAAACAACACCATCAACACGGAAAAGTAATTCTTGCTGTGGGGTATATTACTTAGTCTGCTTTTTCCTTTAAGATGGCATTGCTCCAGTTATCAATTCTTATCAGTGCTACAGCTAACAGTGCCCACATGCATTTTCTTCCATTGGTGGTCTGGCACCATGATCATTAAAACTGTGTGGTTAGCTATTGTCCAGTTGTCTGAGTATTCTTTTCAAACAATGTCACTGCAAAGTGCGTGCCTGTCTGTGTTTGTGATCAAGGTCTTGTTTTCCCCATAGACCACAGAGCGGGGGCACACCCCTTTTCTCTCTCACACTCTCTCTCTCACACACACACACACACACACACACACACACACACACACACACACACACACACACACACACACACACACACACACATCCCAGGAACTCATACAATAGAAACAGGAAGTGGAGCTACTGTACTGGACACGAAGAGGAAATAATAGAGGCCGTTTCCCTCTCAGGTCAGTATGTGTGTGAGTGTGTGTGTTTGTGGGTTTGTGGGTGTGTCCATGTGTAAGAGCAAGGGTGCGTCAGTGAAAGATATACACACAGAGATAGGCATTCACACATGCATCACTTATTCATACTCATTACTCTGTCATCTTCCCTATACTTTCCACACATTCAAAACACTATACTTGTTGTAACACAACTTAAAAAACACTCAGCATTTCTCACACACCAAGTCTTTGTCAGGCACTTGGGTTCACTCCTGGAAAAATCACAACAGCCTGCCTGTGCAGCATCACTGTGCCTACCACCCGATTTCCCTCTATGCAGAGATCCTAACTATGCAAACTTCATTCACAAATCTGACAATCTGTCACTTACATACAACATAGAGCACATCTTTCAACCCTCTTCTGACACGAACAGCTTTCACTTTTAGCCTGAATGTACAAGATTCAAAAACGCAAATCACAGTCATCCTAAGGGGAAAAGGCAATGGCTCTAAAGATTGACAAATGGTGAGATATTACAAGTGGTAAAATGTTTTACGATGGATTACAGTTGAGATGCGAAATTGATGAGTAGATACTAAGAAAATCTGAAATGGTCTAAACGTGTGTTAGAAAAAGCCTGTGTCTCTGTTTACATGAAAAGTAACTTTAAATTTCGTGATTTGCGAGATGAGTTTGGTGTGGCATTCCCTGTATACACAGACTGGCACGTAGAAGCTAACCTGTTAGCTGCTTAATAAGGATCTTTAACTTACCTATGACAATTCTAAGATGTTTAAGCCTTGTCAACACGTCCTTCTTTGGGTCCAACACTTTCTGTGTTGATTTTTTAACGTCCCCATGAGGCTTTTTGGAGAACATTCCTGAGGCAGGAGACACAAGAATGCGATGGCAGACAGCAAGGAGGAGCTAGCTGTGTAGCCACTTACACAGCCCCAGCTAGCGTTAATCTTCAAACTATAACGAAACGCCGATACTCCTGGGTCATCTATTAACGCTGCGCTGCGAATTAGTAATCCTCCGCAATAGCGCGGAGTATATCAAGGGGTAATTTTTGTCGGAGAGGCAGCATTCTGTTTAAACTAAGACAAAAATGTTAAACGTAGCGGGGCAAAGCATCCATCCATTGCACCTCCCTTCCATAACAGCCTGAAGGCTAAACTGGCTGGTTAGCTAGCTCCCCTGCTCAGTTAGAAAACATCATGGCGGAGGAGGAAAAACAAAATAATGGATAGCAGAGAAATTCAACGCCAGTGTAGTTCAACAAAGTGCAAACTTTGGTTATCCAGTTTGAACTATATCATACAAATGTCATATAAACTACATTATACGCCTGACACAAACGACGTTTCAAGTTTGACTGGTGTTAACGTTTTAAAAGCCTTTCGACAATTCTGTTCGAACTCTCCGCCTAAAGCTAAAGTGGTGAATACTGGGTAACGTAGTTTGCGGTTGGTTGTTAGCTATTTAGAGATGTGAATATTAGCGATACAGGAAACTACAGTTCCCTCTACAACGAAGAACGCCCAATTGCGATTTGTTTTTAGCTTAGCTGGGGCACGAGTGAAATTGGAAACGAGGGAAAAATACGTTTAAGCTTACTTTCTCTGAGATTGGTTTTATCTAAGTATTGTGGCAAACGTCCAGCACCTCCTGATCTTGTAAGTTATGATTTTGTTTTAAGTTTCCTTTTCTACGTTTTTTATATAACAAATCGTGCCCATCTTGCTTGGTACCTAACTAGTTGCTAAAATGCTAACCAGATGCTAACTTAAAGTGTTTTCGTTTGTTAATGTTTATTTTTTTTATATAGTTAAACGATTTAAAGGCAAACAGCTAGATCCCACAGTCATTTCAAAATGCTTTTCCTGAGTTATAGAATAGAACTTATCTAAAGCATTAACATAAACCTTTCTACCAACAGGGAGCCATTGTTTTTAGGGATGTTTATGGACATAATAGTATTCCCACAACATCTCAAAAGAATTTTCCAAATTGATCCACTGTAAAAATATATCTAAATGAAGAGAAAATGTGTATAAAATATCGTTCACTGGGTGTAGAATTTAGGTGGATATCCCACCTCACTACCTGCATTTGGTAAACATCACAACAGAATATTACACAGTAAAATGGACGAAAACACAGTAATGTAGAAATATCTCCTGAGTCAGCTGTTTAAAGAATATAAGCAATGGCCTAATACTTGATGGATGTTTTGAAGTGATTGCTGGTTATTGCAGTTAAACTACAACCCAAAGATTATCTCCCAGAAATTATGTAATCACATCGGGTGAAAGAAACAAAAATAATTTGTTCATCAACAAAGAATTAGTAATTATTTGCAATTACTTTGAAATGCAACGTATTTTCATTTGTCATGCCTCTAGTACAAGAAGGCATCAGTGGAGCAATAGTTAGGAGCAAAGAGTAATTTGCCTTTCATGTTCAAACCTGTAAGTGTGTCTCTCTTTTCAAATGTAAAATAACTATTACACACTCATGCAGGTGTAATTAGGCATCAGGCAGATGGGGAAACATCAGTAATAAGCTGATGCATTATGCACTCTCACAAGCTCCTCTGATCTAGCAGCAGAACTACTGCTGATCCCCAGTGGATGGAAAGTGTGGGCATGCTTTGAAGTATTTTAGCTTTTTATTGTCTATAGACCTAAATTGAAACTGAAAGAACCAAGTATCAAGTGTAAAGCTGTATCTGTTGTAGGTAAAACTGCCAAAACAGTCTGACATTGTTGTTCAATCTAACATGAGCAGTCTGAAGCTGATTTGCTGCCATGCCGGTGCACCGTGACCGGGAGAAGAAGGAGAGTACAGCAGAGGAGATGGAAGTGGAAGACCAGGAGCAGGAGGCGTCCAGCTCAGAGGAGGAGGATTCTGACACCTCCTCTGTCTCTGAGGATGGAGACAGCTCAGGTGAGAAACTCTTAAACTATGGAAAATGAGCAGGACATTCCTGTTTGCTTTAGTATGTAAACCATAATGTAGGGGCAGCTCATGTTGGGCTGTGAATGTTTAAAACAGGAAAAGATATTGAACTGTTGCCATGTGTGAAACGGATTACAAATGTGATTGATAGGCAGTGTGGACAAATGGAAACAGTTTATTCGGCATAGTATGTCAACCTATGCCAGGTTTCATTTCCATATCAGCCCCGAGCTTCTTCCATCACAACCCCGTTTCGTAATACCTAACCTAGAGGTGTGTGTGTGTGTGTTTGTGTGTTTGTGTGTGTGTGTGTGTTGGATACTTGATGCTGTTCCAGAAATGGATGAGGAGGACTGTGAGCGGAGGAGGATGGAGTGTCTGGATGAAATGTCCAACCTGGAGAAACAGTTCACTGATCTAAAAGACCAGTAAGACTGACACTGACTCTTGTAAAGTTTATCTAAAATTTGAATTTGATGTTTTTTAATAACAGTGAGCTCTGCCATTATTTCAATCTGTGTTTGTGTGCAGGCTATATCGTGAGCGTCTCAGTCAAGTGAACAGCAAGCTGGCAGAGGTGGAGGCTGGCCGGGCAGCAGAATATCTGGAGCCTCTGGCAGTATTGCTGGAGAACATGCAGGTCCGCACCAAAGTTGCAGGTAACTTTAACACACACAAACACACACACACACACACACACACACACACACACTTATAAAGTCATATACACTCTGATGTCCTTGTTATCACTTTGTGTCTATGTCTTTGTCAGGAATCTACAGAGAGTTGTGTCTGGAGTCTGTGAAGAACAAGTATCAGTGTGAGATCCAGGCAGCATGCCAGCACTGGGAGGTTGGACACAAACACACACACACACACACACACACACACACACACACACACACACACACACACACACACACACACACACACACACACCCTTTTAATTATCTCCTGTCTTACAAAAAAGTATTGCTAAGCCAGTTCAGTTTCTTGTGAGTTCTTGGCTTTAGGAGCCTTTGAAGTTTTTAAGTGTTATTTGATCTCTTTACATAATTGCCAGTGGTGTATGTATGTAACTGGATGCATGTTTGTGTTTGATCTGTGTGTTTTACATGATCTTGTGGTTTTGTGTATGTGTGTTCAGAGTGAGAAGCTGCTGCTGTTTGACACTGTTCAGAATGAACTGGAGGAGAAAATTAGACGACTGGAGGAGGACAGACACAGCATTGACATTACATCAGGTAATGTGCACAGAACACAGTTATTGCATTGTGTTATGTCATGCACGTGCAGCTTAATACAGCTCTTTTTGATTACAGTAATAAGAAGACAGTGCACTCATCCAGGATTGTATATTACATTCAGTGCACCTTGTAATCTTCGTCTGCGTCTTTCTCTCAGAGCTGTGGAATGACGAGTTGTCAGGGAGGAAGAAGAGGAGAGATGCTTTAAGTCCAGACAAGAAGAGGAGAAGACCTTCAGTGGTGTCTGATATCCTTCTACTGCTAATACCTCTATTACTCTTCACAGACTTTTCACTTAATGCTTTTAATGCTTTCAAAAAATCCCAGACACTGGTATCTAGATGTGTCCTTATATTCATTCCTGTTCCCTGTGTAACTGTCTTTAACCCTGTCCACGCCCATATATTGTCTATATGCTACCTGACTTGGACATACTGGAGGACTGGACAGCCATCAGAAAGGTGTGTGTTTCAAGTGTGTATATTACTATGCAGAGGTGTGTCTTTCTCCCGAGGTGGTGTTTGTGTGTGCTGGCATCTTTTAAGAATCAGGTATATGTGTGCTTTTCTCCAGGCCGTGGCCACGCTGGGTCCCCACAGAGGGAAGAGTGATGCTGACGGCTCTGTGTTCCCATTCAGACCAGACAGAAACAGACCCATACTAAACTGCTGAAGCACACACACAGCGGAGCATTTGTTCTGATTCTTCCCACAATCCACTACACTGCTCAGCTAACAGTGACACCAGTCGGTAAGCTGCATCTCGTGCCAACAGGCACACACAACAAGGACTCACGGGTTCGAATCCCCTTAAAGAACAAACAGGAATAGAAGCGTCATGTTAGTTACCAGTACTTCCATTCAGATTTATTTTGTCTGTACCAGTTTCTGTCCCTCAGATAGGAAAGGGTTTTCTCTGTTCTATCTATAATTCCAAAATGATGTATGATATAAACCATTAACGAAAAATGTGATACCCAGAGTTCAATCTATATGGGGTTTTTAAAGATGGAAAGTATCACGGGACACTAAAACTATCGAAATCAAGGTTTTATTGGCCAATGCTTTGAATACTCCTAAAACTCCTAGTGGCACACAAAATGACCCCTGGTATGAAGTTAGAACATGATTTAAGATTTCCGATCTACGTGTTAGATGTCTACTACATTATTTCAGACAGTGTTTTTCTAAGTTTGACCTCTGAGCATTAGATCACAGATTTCTTTTCTTCAAAGTAGGCGTCACATGTGGGATTGAAATCTTTGTGATAATCGTTGGCAAATGGTTTTCAGTTCTTGTTTACATATTGAACAGATCCATCCACTTGGGTCTACTTAAAGTAAAGTTTAACGACCTAGTATCTGGTGAGGCTGCTTATGTCTTTCCACATTGGCGTAAAGACACATTTTTATACAATCTAGTTAACAGCTGCGGTGCACCGTTGCCTAGAACTGGTCAACGGTGAATGTGACAGTGTGTTTTTTTTTTTTTTAAACAAGCTCAATCTGACATGGACGCTGTAAGACAGGCACACCTTGAGTCATGGATGGTTTTCCCAGTTGTCCGAATATTACAATCACTAGCAGTTCAAATGTCTTTGCAAACATTTAAATATGAGTTTTATTTGACAATACTTGAGCATTCAGAAGATTTTCCTTCCTGGAGTATTCAAACAAGTGTGTCATTGTAAGTTTGAGATTTTTAATGTTAAACTTAGCAGGTTATTGACGAAGCTTCCAGTAAAATGTGGGGAAATCCTGGTTTATATATGAATCTTGTCCATTGTGCCATGATATATTTTAAACTTTTCTACCTTTTGTTTATGTGGATCGGTTTTAATGTTAATTGTATGAGACTATTGATTATGCTTTGTTATGATGTTTTGAATTCGATGATTTGAGTTAGGTAATCATATGACATGTTTGTACAGTTTTTTGTTGTTTCAGAAAGCAGTCAGCAGTGCCTACATTTGAAGTGAAGTTCAGTTCAATTTCATCATGTTCTGTTGTTATAGTCGTGCATCTTGCATTCGAGGAGTTACAGTTTGGTTGCTGCGACAAACTCTGCGATAACTTAAACTCGTATTGATAGCAGTAATTAAAATGCAAGATAAGGAAATAAATATTTCAAGATATTGTTGTGTGTATATGAGATAGAAACAGAGTTAAGTCAACACATTTAGAAAGGAATAATGTTTCAGATCGTCCTGTCCTGAAGCTCAAATTCATTAAGAGATTAGATTTCTACTGGACACTTAGATTTCAAACCAGCAACATTTGTGCACCAGCATCTCACTTGGTAATATAATGAGTAGTGGGGTAAGACCATATACAGTGTCAATGGATACCTGATATTTTTTCATCTTTTCTTGCCCTCACTGAACCCTTTCATAATAATACTATTTGTTTATTACAGCTGGTTATTTTAATGCTGATCACCAAATTTCTCTCTTTTTTTTTTTTTTATTAACCACTACATCAGCAATCGTAATTGTAATGTGTCAATGATGCAACGACACGGTAACAATGTTAACAAAAGGATTTTAACGGCCACAATCAACATGAGAAGGGGTGAGGTAAAGTCCCAAGGTATCTCTTTAAAGCTGTTTTTCACCAGGTGTTGTTACATTCTCTGCTTATTGTATCTACCTCTTCTCTCTTTCTGTCTCTCCGTCAAGCTCCTGTGAAAAATACTCACAAACACGTAAATGCTTCCATTTTTACCACCATCCTGACAAGAATTGATTTTGTTATTTCAGTGTATTGCTGGTTTATATGGCCGTGATTCATGCAGGTTCGTCAGGATGTGTTTTTTTTTTTTTTTTTTAATAGATGGAAAAGGAACCAAACCATGTTCTTCCAATAACCCTTCACAGATACAACCCACTGTTTATACAGGATGATAAACAAACTGTCATTTAATAGTACAGATTTTTATATACTGGTTTTTGAAGATTAAGGTGGCGGGGATGTGAAATACTCAGATTGATATTTTTCGACAGTTTCTGTTGAGTAATGTGTCAGGTACATTTGTGTCTTTTGTTAACGATGTGGACGGGTTTTACAATTAAACGTTTTATAATTACTCCGTGGTGTCTGTGTTTACAATATTTTTAGCAGTCCACACACTGACAGCAAGGAGTATGATCTGTATGTTTATACTAAATGTACTGCCAGACCAAGAGGAGCCTCCATATTTTCAGCTCTTTGCAAGTGATTACTACATCACTGATAAGAATGAAATATTTAGCAGCTTTCCATATCAAGAGTTGTAGATTGCTTTACAGGGCCTAAAGATAATATATAAAAAGGAAGAAGTGGCTCATGCAGGACTCAATAAGGAGGCCAAACTCTCCTAGATCTGAGAGGACTTGACACCAGAGCATATATCCTCTTAATAAAATTACTATTGATCTCACATCAAGGCATTTCCTCCTTTAAGAGGACAGACTTTACATCACTGTATACAGGCTGCATGGAGAGCATATGAAATTACCCGCCAGTGGTAAATGATGATGATAATAATGACACATCACTTATCATTACAACAGTGCTCTCATGGCCACAGGAGGCACAGGCCTTTCACTTCACATGGTGATATAATATATTCTGAACATGAACCCAGGTATGTCTCAGTTCACTAACAACTCCTCTAGAGACAAAACACAACAATCAGCTATTATAAATGGCTTTTTTGAAGCCAGACCCAAATGTAAGTCATTGTAATAACCTTGCGCAGTGAAAAATACAGAAATCATTTTTATCTAATGGCTAATTTCACTTCTGAGGAATAATTTGGAGAATTAGGAAATTGTACAACGGCAGGTGTGTCCTGTTTCTGACTTAGAGGAGAGTTATTATGTTATCAAATACAAAAAGGTCACACATGACGAAGAATGAATAAGAAAAAACCTGGTGAAGCAGACGGGTTAATAGACCATTTTCACAGCAGACATTTTGACTTGTTACAGTATGAAAAGCGGAGGTGCAATAACATTAACAATGGTTCTGTTCTATTCAAGAATCCCAGTGACCCAGAATGTAAAGCAGCATGGACCCTGGCCCACTTAACTACAATGCAGCCATCACGAATTTTACTTTTACATCATATTAATAACACATACGCTTTTCCTGCTTTGACATGTCAAAAAGTCTTCTGCATTCACTTTCTGAATTTTCTGTTCAAAACTCAGACTTTTGGACCTCACTGTATATGTGAAAGAATACTGAAACAATTTGCAATTACCGTTTTAACATAATTAAAGCATTTCCATTGCATGTCTATGCAGTATTATATAAAATACTGATCAAATTTCCACTTACATTCCAATTTTTTGTTTGTCATGTTCAGTTCCATGCAAAATAAACTGAACATTAATACATTAGTGAAATATGGAGACATTGACAATTTGACAGTCTTTATTCATCTATCAATAATCACTTTTTACAAAATTCACATGGGTGTTATCTTTCTGGCTCTGAAGGCAGCCTTTCTTCCACTCAGTCATTTCATTCACCAATCTGTGACTCTCAGGATCAGTCACAACTCACTTCAACAAAAACACAAGTGTCTTCTGTACGCCAGTCTTTTCAAGCATGGGTCATATGTAAGTCATTGTAACATGATCAAAAGCATCAAAAGCAGTTTATCTGCTGCTCTGAATCCCCTACATCCTGCAGGGAAATCAAGTTTTGCACTCTAATTATATTTTAAGTCTCACTTGACCTCTGGTGAATATTATGGAGGGTTTAAGATCAACTCAGTTCAGTCACAGAGAAAACAAACTACACTGAAATCAGATCCTGGTGTGATCTGGTTTAAGTGCAGCTGAATCCAGGTAAACAACAACACAGATGCTAAATGGCTATTTATTTTAATTATGGTGACAATGGCAAGAGTGTTGGTATAACAAAATAAACTGGTGTAAAAAGATGCATTTCTTCCCTGATAGCTTCTCTTTCTGTGCCATTGGGATGAAATTATTCCATACGTAAAATACTCCACTCTCCACCACAGACAGCATCTCTACATGCACACATTTCAACCTAGGCTGCATTAAAAACCTTTCCGGCACTGTCAAACTCACAAGCAGCCAGCAAGTTTCTGGTTCACGTGGCAACACCCCCACACACAGGCACAGATTAGGCTGCCTCCTGTTAGCATGACTCCACAACAACAGGGACTACCTGACAGGGAATGAAGATGGATGATGATGGGGCAGAGAGCGGGAATAACAAAGAGATAGAAGAAAGAGAGAAACAAGGATGTGACAGGAGGAGAGAGACAGATAGCAACAAAACAGGCTAATGAAGCCTAATGTTTCCTGTCTACTAACACTATTCATTAAATATTTCCTGGTTAATAAATAGATGTTACAGAAATTAGTGGAAAACTGCAACCTGCCCTCCATCCACCACTGAGTTAAATTTTAACCAGAAATGCATCATCTCACAGCTCAAGTAGAAACTTGGTCAGGATCAAATGGCGTCTTCAGGTGAGGGTCTGTGCTCCTCAGGTGACTGGCTCTGTGGTGGGGAGGAGAGGGAATGCTGAGGAGGAGGAGGACCCATGGAAGGAGGTGTGAGGCTGTCGGGTGGAGGGGGCCGCATGGGGGGAGCATAGTGAGGATGAGGAGCTGGAGGAAGAGGAGGTCCACCGGGAGGGAAACGAGGAGGGAACATCATTCCTGGAGGTCGAGGGGCCCACACTGGAGGCAAAGCAGGAAACACAGAGTTAGGTTTACACTAATCAAATCTGAAGATAAGATGGTACATGCTGTGAAGATGGCTGCGACTGCTTACTAGGCATCATGGGAGGGCCCCCCGGTCCCCTCGGAGGGTAGAAATCAGGAGGTGGGGGTCCATAGGGAGCTCTACGAGGAAAGGGACCGTCCATGGGGCCCATGGGGCCCATGGGGGGTCCAGGAGGGGGTGGGCCCCCCATCCTTGGATCTGCTTCAGGGGGAGTCCTTCGATCACCCGGACCAGACTGGTGATACAGGTTCAAAAAGTTAAATATTACACAGGCTCCAGAGCTCAGGTAACACAACAAATGGATCAATGAGATGCATCAAAATCCACCAAATGTACAGTATAAGTTATCACACTGTGCACAGAGATATGCTTCATAATGCCACAGTCCTGCTGTCTGTACTGGAAAAACAACTGCACCATATATTGTAACAGCATACACAATACTGGAGCTCTGTAAAAAGATGGTGTATTTATGTCCTATACAGACAACTGCATTAAGCATTATTTGGAATTGGATGCACACTCATAGGATTTCTCTTTGTTACACGAATGTCTCTTACCTCTCTGTGTTCCTGTTCACCAGATCCAAGGCTGTTTTCTCTGTATGAACCATCTGCATTGACAAACATATTGAGGAGGACTTTTGACTCTGATCTGATTCGTGTGTAGATTTTCACAAACTCAATGTGTCGAAGAGCAAGTGAATACATTTTCATCTACAGTCCAAACCTTACAGATGGGAACATAATGAAGCAATAATAAGCCGTTGTACAGATTCCAGTGATTTACCTGCCATGTCTGTAGGGTGGGGAGGTCCTGGTGGACCAGCAGGAGGGAAACCCCTTGGGTGGGGAAGAGGAGGGCCAGGTGGGAGGGAGCCGGGAGGAGGCAAAAGGCCCATAGCTCCTGGGGGAGGTCTCCTGTACATTGGACCTCCTGGTTCTGGAAACATATAGCCTAAGAGAGTGACACAAAGAGAGAGAGAAAGAATACACCAAGATATGTGAGGATTTATCAATATTTTTTAAACAGAAAAAGAAGCTCCTCCAAAAAGTGAAACTAAGTCAAAAAAACAAATGTTCTGGTTTGAGGTTACTCTATTTATGAATAACTGAAGAGTGACATTGTCGACACTGGGTGTATACTGTCTGAAGTTGGATGTAAAACGTGTTTTCAGGTGAACTTTCCATGTCAGCATCATGTGACAAATTATATGATACATCTCAATCACAGAGCTTCACAGACATCTCTAGTTTCCAATGTCAAAACTCAAAATGCATTAAACACAATCCACATGCACTGTTAACATGCATTTAGCATTCACATGCACACTATAAAACTTTGACTGTTATCTAGCCAAATGCAGGTGCAACTAATAACTTTAACAATGGCTGAATTCCAGTTCAGCTGCCCAAGGTCCAGGACCTGGTGCTGTGAATGCTGGCTCACTGTCATAGCAACCAAGCCATAATTAATTATATTAGCTACACCTGTGCAATGACTGCAGCAAATCAAGCTTTCTGGCTTCCAAAACATCATGTAAAATAGAATAATGTATCAATTAATCCATGAATAGTTAATGACACAACAGAAATCCAGCGGTGCCACATCCAAATATATCTCCCTGAAAGTGAAGCCTCAAATAAATAATTGTTCCTTGCTGCAGTCTGAAGGCTGATTCACACTTTGATATGCAAGAGCAGGAATCAGCAGGTTAGAGGTATCTTATTTTTATCTTTGCAGTCACAACTCAGAGCTTGTATTGTCAGTATAGTTCATTTTTTTATTCAGGTCACCTTCAAAGAACTACATTTTCCTCCAACACAGGATCACAATAAAACAAAAATAAAATGCCATTAACAAAGTAATAGCTCTTTTGAGACTTTTACTTAATTTTTATGATACATGATGAAAAAAATGAATAATAAAGAAGTATAAAGGATCCTTACTTACCTGCTTATTTTTGGATCAAACTGAGGAAATATACCAATTTCTGTTTGTTAAATATGATCTAAATCATCATCAACATGAGGCAGTTCTGGACTGGTCCAGCTCTGTGGGCATCAACTACAACTTTCTGATTCTCACTGTCTTTTTTTTCTTACATATACACACACACCTGGAGGTCCTAGGGGCCCTGGGGGCCCAGGAGGCCCTGGCAGGGGTCCCCTGCGATCTCTCTCCCATGTAGGAGAGATTGAGCCACTGTCTGAATGAGGACCTCCACTCCGCTCCATCTCCCCTTGGCCACCTGGGGGCTCCATGGGACCACGACCCACTGTGGATTAAAGCAGCAGAGGAAAGAGACAATACAAGGGAAAGAGAGAGGAGAGCAGAGATGATAGAAGATGATGATGAGCATGAGAGAAAGAGAGAGACAGACAGAGAGGGACAGGAGGAGACAAAGAGGGAAGGGGACAAGTAGAACCAAGAGTCCAGTCACAAAATATCAGTGTGAGAGAGAAAGAGGGAAAGAATAAGAGCATCATGTCAATCAGAATGAACTGAGAAGATTGAAAACATATCACTGTCATATATTCCATGGACTTTTCCCTATGGACTGCAAAGTGCCAACAGCATGCCAGCATACAGACCATGCTACTACAGACATTTCAGCATTTACAGTTTATCATGCTGCAGCCAGCTTGTTATCTATGACATGCTGCATGTGCTTATTGTAAGGATGTTGTGAAACTGAATTAGCAAATGTACTGTGCCAAAAACAAAGTGTATAGATGAAAATTATGAAAAATATGCCTAATAAGCCTACAGTGGCTGTTTATGTGGATCAATATCACTGTCTTTTTTGGTTTTGCTGTAGGTAATTCTATATTTATGTGTATGGTTTTCTGTGCATGTGTGTGTGTGTTGTGTGTCTGTGTGTGTCTGTGTGTGTATACCTCTAGGAGACAATCTAGCAGGTGGTCCATCCATTAATGTAGGAGGAGACAGAAAAGCTCTGGTTTCAGATGCTGGTCGACCCAGAGGGGAAGGACCATACGGTGACCTTTCAGCTGGAGGTAAAGGAGAGTTTATGTGAGTGCAAACTCAAGATAATGCATGATGATTGGTGTATGTGTGTGTGTGTGTGTGTGTGTGTGTGTGTGTGTGTGTATGTGTGTGTGTATGTGTGTGCTCACCTCTGAAAGGCAATGGTCTAGCCAGACTGTCCAAGGCGTATGGGTCTTTGTCAAGGGCATCTAGTTTAAACTGTGTGTCTGTCAGCCTGTAAACAAACACACCTAAAGTTAACATATAACAAACATTTTTGTGCAATGCATAAAATATATGAATATATATATTAAAATCAGATGAAAGGATCTCAGAATACAGCATATTTCTGCAATTAAGCAAAGAACATAAATAGCTTATATGTTATGCTTACTTCTGTCTTAGGAGAGCGTTCTCTCTCCTGATGTCTGAAAGTTCTCTGTCTGCTGCTCGGGCTGCAAGCTGGAAAATCAAGCCAAAAATCAGTAAAATGGTATAACATATGTACATACTGTATATACAGATAGTCAATATCAGTGTGCTTAAATCTACCGTTTAAGTTATTTGAATACAGCACTCATAACATCATAGATTAAGAGAAAGTCACAAAGACAAATTTGTGTCCTGAGATACAACATCACATTATGTCTGTGTGTTGCAGTGACAGACAGGAAAAAGTGGAAACAGACATTTGACACCAATATTAACTGACATGACTGATATGATGACGTGATCTCAGCATGTTTCTCCCATGTTTGTAGAGTGGTTTATGGTGGAGTTTTACTAACCCAGTTATTGTGTGCCTTCTTCTCATGTGCTGATATTTGGGTCTGGTAAGACTGTTTGGTTTTATCCAGCTCCTCCTCCATCTCTCCTGCTCGTTGTCTGAAGAGACATAATAATATGAGGATGTGTGTGTGGAGGGAAGGCTCAAAAATGCCTCAGATATATTACATACTGTTAATGTGTTTGGTAATAGTTGGCAGAAGCAGCTACCTGTAATTGTTGAGTTCTTCCATGGCCAATGCAATGTTTTTGTCTGCTTTATTTAACTTCTCTTCTTTCTGCAGACGCTCCTTCTCCTCCACTGTCAGCAGTCTGCAAACACACATTCATCAACATCCTCATTTGTTTTTGTAAATGACTCAACTTCTATAGCTGCACTCAAACCTATCCATAAATGGTTCTTTTTTCCATACCTGTGCAGCTTGAGTTCATTTTCCTGGTACATTTCTGTCATAATCTGGAGTTTCTGTTGTAACCGTTGGACCTGAGCACATGTGAGCACAATAAAAAGTATTAGTTCAAATGCAATTTAATGTAGGACACCATTATGATACAATAATACGTAGTTGAGGTCTGCTACCTGATCTGTGTAGTGCTCAGCATCTGACTGCAGAGATAACTTCTCATTCTCCAGCTCCTTGATGCTCACTAAATGGAAAACAAATGCACACACACAGTGGCATACAGATGTAACAAACCAATCATCAGTGATAATATCTGGTCTATACACTCATAACTGTTTCTTAAGCTCTAAGACCAGATGTTCATAACAAATTACATAACATATTACTCATATTATTGGGGGCAGTGTTAATTATCCCCCCACTCTTTGTTTGACTTGTTCTGTCAGATAACGTAAAGAGAACATTAGTAAGACAGATATCAGTGTTAAGTTGACTTACCTTGCAGGTCTTCTTTAGCTTTGACTTCATCATTCAGTTTGGCAAATACCCTGTCCTTGTCTTCGTCTACTGATTTGAGGTCTGCATTCAGCTATACACAAGTACAAACAGAATATTAAAACATTTAACCTCAGTCTGTCTAGCTTGAAGTTCTCTGGAAAGCTTTGTAACAATTTCTCAAAATATTGTCCCATATTAAGAATTCCCCTCAACCAGCACTACATCAAATGCAATGCGTCTGTGTCCATTTTCATCACATACCTTAGCAGCGTAAATGAGTTTCTGGACTTTCTGGAAATGGCCTTGTTTGTCCATTATGTCCCCCCCTCCATTCTCCTCTTCTTTTCCTGATGCCCCATTGGACGTTTCCTTCTCTGCTCCTTCCGCACCTTCCTCTTCCTCCAGATCTGAATCCCAAGCTTTCATCCTCAGCAAGCGGTCTGTCAAGGACTGGAAGCACACAAATATTTGGTGTCAACCATCTTTTTCATAAAACTAATCATGTCAAGTAATATAACCAAGTCCTTTCACCACTAGGGCTGGGCAATATAGCCAAAAATGTTATCACAGTAAAAATGTTCATATCACTTGATATTGACAATTATTGATCATTTTTAATGCCCTTTTTTTTATCAAAGACCAGGAGAGAAGTAGTACACTACTGAGTGGATCATGTCCTTGTAAAGTTTGGATGTTTTTTTATACTGTGTTTCTGCTGAGTAACTCTTCACCGTCAACTGCCTGTGGGTTCCCATACTGACAAGCTGACCTGTCCTTTTTGTCAAAAATTTCCTTTCTATTTGATAATTTAATATTTCTATTGATGTTTGTCAATTGCCAGATGTGTGCCAATTGCCAGTACAAAGGCCTATTGAAAACCCAGTATTAATTAGAAAATCTAAAGACAATATGCAGTACCTAACTACTTTATACTATAATCAATACTAGAACCAACCATACCATTATACGCTCATCCTTATTGGCCACATCCTGCTGCATCCCGCTGTGGGCAAACTCACACCTCCGCATCTCCGCCTCCAATTCACTCACTCTTTCAGCCCATCCCTCCACCTGCTGCCGCAACTGCAGAGAGACGACAGGCAGAGCAATGAAAATATGGTGCAAGGGACAAGTTGGAACAGGAACGGAAAGGGGAGGGACAAAGATACAAAATATGTCAAGATTAGATATTACTTCTAACATTTTAGATTTCACATATTTCACAGATATATGAACCTAGTTCATGATTAAAGCTTTCATTTCAATTATGCACATGCAAAACCCCACTCTATACCATACAGTTATATTGTGTGTGCATGTGTGTGTGTGTGTGTCAGAGAGTGTGTGTGTACAAGATCCTACCTGAGCGTTGCTCTCCTGTAGCAGTGTATTCTCCTCTCCAGCTGTTTCCAGGTTCCTTTGTAGCCTGTCACTGTTCATACTGTACACTTTCAGAGTAGTTTGTGCCTAAAGACAGACAGGCATACAGCTGTAATGTCACATTAAACACAGACAGACACAGCAAAAGGGGAAAAGAAGAAGCAGCGGATGGGAAAAGATAAAGAAGACAGGTAAAGACAGAAAGCAGGGGAGTAATGGTGACTGCACCTGCTCGTCCTGTGACTGGATGTCTTTGGTTTCTTCTTCAAATGTTTTCATGCTCTCTTCAAGTGCTGCTATCTGGAGGGATAAACAAAAAATAATCCACTCGCTAATTATCACACTATGCACCGGATTCTCAGTTAACATGGTTCACAAAACTTTCACAGTTTGGTATTGTAGGTAGTGGTGTGTGTCCTCCTACCCTTCTTTCTTGCTCTATCCTGTGTTCTTTCTGCTTGTCCAACTGATCCTTCAGTTGTTCAAGGTCCCTCTCCAGTTCCTTTTTATCATGTTCCAACTGTCTGGCTTTGACCTGGAGGAGCAAGAAAACAATTCATTCAGGAAACAGCTTTAAATGTGAACAAGAGTCCATTTCAGACCAGTGGTGAAGCGGTTCAAGTTTTGAAATTGACCTTTTGTCTATAGTGCCATCATGTGGTTTCATGATGGCACTAAAATGCAAAAACAATAATAAAAATTGATTATAATAAATTTTGCAGTTTTGTTGGGAGGTCTGTTTAAAATATTCTATGGATTACAAAGATGAAAGTCACAATTTGTTAACAACAATCATTTTTTATCAACTTTTACACTATTGAAGCAGTCTAGCTCTGCATTATGAGCTAATGGAAGAAAAATAGGGAGTCACACACACACACAAGTGGCTGAAGACAGACAGACAGCTGAAGACTGAACCTATTAACAGTTTGGACAAACTTCCAGAACAAACTGTGACTTTCCTGTATGTATCTGTCCTGATCATGGTTGCTTACGGCATTGCATGTAGAGTATGTATTGGTACACAAAACCAGACACAAGGACTGTGTGTGGTACATCTATTACACGTCAGATGAATTGGTGTCTGGGTTACCGTTAGATCAGATCAGACAATTTAAATTTAACTGAAGTTGAAGTTCCATAGAGGGGGTTTAACATGCTCTGATCCCAGTGCTTGCTCCTTAATTTTTATTAAAAAAAAAAGATCGAAAAAGAAATACATTTCCCATTGTTACATGATGTTTCCAAGTTTTTCCACATTTCTTTATCTCCTTTTAATCCTTATATCTCTATGTCTTACCTCCAGATGTTCTGTCTTTTGAGTTTGGGCCAAGACCCCACTGTCCCTCAGTGAGTTCTCCAGGTCATCATGCTACAAATATGACATAATTAAGAAATATATCAGATTAAATGTTGACAAGAGTCATGATCACCACAACAAAAAGTGGATCTCTTCAGGATCTCAAATCATGTACATAAATATGTGCTAATGATTTGTAATAAGAGAGCTGTTTGGTCCTTACACCACACACATCAACATATATTACACTCTGCATCTTCCAAGTCATTTTGAAAAAACAGAAATCAAAACACAGGGCTCTCTGGCCTCAGTTGAAAAGATCCAGTATTGTGTGTGAGACAGGCCCTGTGTTTAGGCAGCAGTCAGTCAGCACTGGCACCAGTACCTACCTCTTGTTGACATTTACTGAGAGTCTCAAGGACTTTACACTTCTCATCCAGCAACTGTGCAACCTGTTCAGCCATCCACCGCTCTTTACCTGAAAAAACAGGGAATGCAAAACTTATAAACATTATAAGTTATATAGAAATTATTTTATTTATATTATTGTTTCTACATTATTACTGATTTAAGAGGTACTAATAAAGAAAGATTAAATTGGCAGTCATAGGTGATGTATTAGTTTTTTTTTTGTAGAGTCATAAGAATGAGATATAAAGTAATAAGTAACAAAAGCTTACTTCTATACATTCTGCTTTTGACCTGTTAAGAAATAAGGAGAAAAAAATTATGAACAAGAGGTCATTAAGGTGACTGATGGGTTAATATATGGAGGAACAAGTGTAGCCTTTTTTGCGTTTGAACCAACAGTACCACTACCACTTAACTGTAAACATATGAAATCTTTGTGATGTTGATGTGTCTATAAATAGCTGTGTACTCACAGAGCTATAACATCTACAGGTGAACAACAGCATTGTCACCAACCCCACCAAACTGGAGATGATGACTGGTTCCCATGGCACCCCGTACAGGTCTGGCCCAGGTCTGATGTCATCAGGCAGCGAGGATACAACCTGAAAGGAGAGGAGCAAGCGGTTTATTATAGGAGCTGGTTTCATCTTGAAAAATTGATGCCATGTCACGTCTTCCCAGACAAATAATCAAGTCCAGTTGTTTTTTTGATTTAAACTCCTTTAGGATACTATGACCTGGATAAATGAGAATATGCACAGGCTGAATGCCATGTGATTCTCTTTAACATGGGAACAAAATGTGATTCACTTGGTTAGCTTGTTTTCAACTTGGTAGACTGTAGACAGTGGTATACTCAGTTTGGGATTTAGGATCAGTGTTTTATCACTACATGACTGCCCTGTAAACCATTTCAATTCAGTACATCTGAAAAAAGCACTACTCTAATTAAAGTCTCATTCTCTGGGACCAAAATAAAATTTTCTCAGTTCACCCTCTAGTAGTTATAGGAGGAACAAATGTCTGTTAACACACTTACAGCTTTGACAGTTTACTACACAGCTGTTATAGGAACGAATTTGTAGTAGAGAAAGTATAGTGTATTAATGTGCTACAGGGAAAATCAACAAACACTTGGCTCTTTTAGCAAAAAACCGCACATCACCTGACAAGAGGAACTAACGTTAGCTAGTTATCACCAGCTAACTCTGTGAACAATCACAAACACATTTGGAAAAACAATATAAAATATCAAAATGGACCTGACAGCTGGTTGGCGTCATTGATAGGAAACACATGTAGTCAAAAATGAGGCGTACAAAATTACAAGACTAGTTACTGGTTTGTTTTCGATTACATGACAGCCCGTTACGTTGTTTCAGCTCTGAATGCTAGTTGGGAAATGCTAACGAAACCTGCCACATAACGTACATCCTTCACTTTCTCCACGGCGATACTGTAGTAAGCCTCTGCCGTAGCCTGGAAGTCGACCGCTTTGCTAGCAAACTGGTCACTTGCCGGATGCACCGCCATGTCGGAATTATTTCATTTGGCTGACAGTTTTGTTATAATTTTAATTTTACCGACATTAGGAACTAGAGCCGTCAACCGGGCTAGCGGCGACTTCACATCCTATTCACAACAACCGACGCTCAAGAGTAGACCACGTCCTACTGACGTCATGGGGGGGGACGATTGAATTTCTCTGAAAACTCCTCTTAACGACTCTAATGGATTGTAATTGCTCAAGAAAACAATAATGAAATGAATATGATATATATATATATAAAGAATAATGCGATATACAAATATTATTATGTGCTTGTATAATTTCAGGTATATGGTACTACAACCCCGTTGGTGCAAATGGTTCAATCGCAACGTCACCAATTGTAAAATGCCACACTGGCAGGTCGGAGTGCATTCAAAGTGACACCATAGAAAGAAACAGGTGTTACAAAGATAACTATTGTATTCTCAATATTGTTTTAATGACTTCCCGAGTAAATAATGTGATTATTTCACACTGAACACATAAGTATGCCTTTACATGAAAGCCTTCATTTTTGAAAAGCGTATGGCCATGTGTCACCTGCTTTGAATGACGGCCACAAGCTAATAACAAGTAGGATACAGGTGAGGATTGGACTTGTTACTTTAACCCAGTGCTCCCTAAGGTTGTACTCACCGAACTGGCTTCATTTTCGTCCATTTGAGACAAGAGAATCACTAGCCCTCTAAGATATTTTAAACAATTTGCCTTTAGAGCAGCACTAAGGAATGTGAGTGATATTGACGGAGCCAAGCCAGCCTGACAGCTGAGACGTAGGCAAAGCTGAATGCCAGAGGGAGAGTCAGATGAACATGTCACAAGTTCAGTATCTTAAAGAACCAGACCTCACAGTTTGAACACACCTCAAGAACAGATGTTCCTTTGTACAGCAAAGGTTAGCAAGTTGTTCTGAATCAAGACTGAACCAAAGCTGCTCATACAAAAGGATATGAACATATTCCAAACTAGTGTTCATTAAACCTTTACCGCCTATCACCAGAGAGAAATTAATTGCATTGCAAGTGCATTGTTCGAAAAATACTCCTTAATATTCCTTGTGAGGAGTTGTATTAGAATTTCAGGCACTGTTTAGGGCTTTTCTGAAACATTACTCTGAAATACACAATGCATGTCTCTGTGCATTGTGTGTAATGTTGGTGGACAGCAAAAGTGCAAGAGGAATTACAGTTGTTGTATACAGTATATCTGCTCTGCTATTCTAATATTTCACTGAAGGAGGCTTAATCACTAATACTGTATTTCATAGCTTGCTGTCATTGGTTTATGACAAAAAAATTATACATATGCCTTAGATTTGGTGATGATTTATCTCACATTTCCATGGAGTGATATCTGCTGGTAACTCCTACCTGTACAGTAATCCATAGGAGCTCCCTCATTGCAGTGACTTGAGCGGCTGAGTCTTCAGCGATCTGATGAACAAAGTCCAGAATGGGCTTCATTACCCCTGGAAAGAGCATGACATAGACATAACAAAGTTCAGAATTTAAGCTTTCCCCCTTTGTCAAAATGATATAGGTGATATAATCCAATGCTTTTATATGTGTTTAATACAAGATACAAATGTAAAGTATTATATATAAATGTTCCAGCCATGCCACATGTTCCAGGTTATGTTTTGAAGGATGAGGATGCAACAGGTCAAGTAGCACTCCTTATTGTATGTAATTGCTTAAGATCATTTAATTATATTTTAATCTGTCTTGATTAAGGGATACTTGTGTTATCAATACCTTCAGGTGGCTGTGGTGATCCTGGCTCATTGTGAGGACGGTACTCTTTACTTCCTTCTCCCTTCTCTTTTCTTTTAACATCAGTTTCTCTCTCTTTTCCACGCTTTTGTCCATCGTTCTCCACGTCCATCCCTTCATCTCTTTGGATGTCACTATCCAGGGCTACAGAAGGATCTTCTGTTTTACTTGAGTCATCCTCAGTGGTCATTTCTTGATCTTTACTGTTGGTTGAACAGGATGCACCGACACAGCTGGCCTCAGCTGTATTTGGGAACACATGCATTCTGACTGAGACAAATGCAAGTCAAAACCATACTAAAATCAAAAGATTTAATCAACTTTATATATCACTAATAATCAGCCATGATCATTGAAGCAACACAGACAAAATACCTTGATGGTTTTCTTTACTAGTGTCTGATTTTCCTGTGTTGAATGTCTCTCTCACTCTTGTTATCAGCGTCTCTAGTTTCTGAAGAGCAATGAGCGTTCTAGTCTTTTCCGTGTCCACCTGTGGTGCATCCACGAGCTTCGTGTTGGGAGGTACCAGCGTCTCCCTGTGATAGTGCATAAGTCTTTCTATATCTGACAGTATAGATTCATCATTATCAGGATCTTCAGTCACAGTTTCTGAGCTTTCCAACATGAAATCCAAAAACTGCAGTTTGTTTCGCCCAAAGAGCTCCATCAAAACAGTCATCTCATCCGCACTGAAATAGGCGGGCAGGTTTTTGTAGTACTTGTAGAGGGTTTTTGTTTGGAGTGGGGGTTCTGTGTTTGGAGATGGAGTGTGGGGATGAGCATGGGATGGAGTTGATGTCTGGATTTCAGCAGAGGAAGGAGATTGTTGTGGCTGCTCTGTGGGCATGGCAACAGGAGAGTCTGTGTGCAAATCTGATTTATAAATCTGACTTGAATCAGAGTCCAGCTCTTGTTCAGGGGTCGGAGAGGCCGGTGGCTGAGATGTCTCACCTGTTTCAGTATCCACATTTAGGGCAGAATCAGTGGAGTCCTTTGTCTCAGTGGCAGGTGTTTCACTGAAAAAGCTAAAGGCGTTTTTGAAAAGACCAAAAGCTCCTCCATTTCCAGTCTCCGCTGTTCTTTCATTGTGATCATCAGACGGAAGTGAAGCACCGGTGGGGTGTGGCACCGTTTGTTCAGGTATAACAGCCTGGCTTTCAACAGACTCCCACCCTGCCTCTCCCCTGGATTCGATGCCAATTGTATTATCATTAATCTGCGAATCAGTGTTCTCATTCCTTCTTACATTAATGTCCTCCTCTGTGTCTGTCTTATGATCAGAGTGTATTTGTTTCTTCTCAGTGGAAATCCCATTGCTGCTAGTTTCAGTGTCTCCGGGTTTCGTGTTATTCCCCTGATAGAGCACTTTGTCATCAGAGAGGTCAGCGTTTTGTGCCTCACTTGGATACACCTCACCATCTTCCCTGTTCTCGGCTGTCTGACCAAGTGAAATTTCATTATGCAGACCATGGGGACCATTCTCTCCTGAATATGTCAGATCAATGTCTTCTGTCTGGTCAGCTTCCAAATCGTCTCCCTCCTGTCGTACTCTTTCTCCCTCAGTTCTCTCAGGAGGTGTTGTCTGAACCTCTCCTGTCCTGTCTGGTGGTATTTCACCATTCTGATTTCCTGGTTGGAGTGTCCCTTCGTCTCTGACAGATTCATCGTCAGTGGCTGGAGGACAAAGCTCATTTAAACATTTCAGGCTTTCCTCTTCCTCTTTGTCCCTCCTGTCATCATCCTTCACCTGCTGCATTTCCTCAACCTGCCTTTTCTCTTCCTCGACCTCTTCTATCTTCTCCTCTTTTTCCTTCTCTCTCTCCTCTTCCTCTGTGTGTGTCTTCTCAGTCTCTTTCTCACTGCTTTCTGACTCTGGCCTGCTGCTCAGATTGTTGTTGTTTTCCATCTGCTCCTCCACATGAGATGACTGCATCTGTTTCTCTTCACCTTCCTTCTTCTCTTTTTCCTTTACTTCCTTTATCTCCTCCACCTCCTCCTGCTTCTTCTCTTTCTTTATCTCCTCCACTTGCTCCTGCTTCTTCTCTTCCTTTATCTCCTCCACCTGCTCCTGCTTCTTCTCTTCCTTTATCTCCTCCACCTGCTCCTGCTTCTTCTCTTCCTTTATCTCCTCCACCTGCTCCTGCTTCTTCTTCTCTTCCTTTAACCCCACCACCTCCTCCTGCTTCTTCTCTTCCTTTAACCCCACTACCCCCGCCTGCTTCTTCTCTTCCTTTAACCCCACCATCTCCTCCTGCTTCTTCTTCTCTTCCTTTAACCCCACCACCTCCTCCTGCTTCTTCTCTTCCTTTAACCCCACCACCTCCGCCTGCTTCTTCTCTTCCTTTAACCCCTCCATCTCCTCCTGCTTCTTCTTCTCTTCCTTTAACCCCACCACCTCCTCCTGTTTCTTCTCTTCCTTTAACCCCACCACCTCCTCCTGCTTCTTTTTCTCTTCCTTTAACCCCACCACCTCCTCCTGCTTCTTCTTCTCTTTCTTTAACCCCACCACCTCCGCCTGCTTCTTCTCTTCTTTTAACCCCACCATCTCCTCCTGCTTCTTCTTCTCTTCCTTTACCCCCACTACCTCCGCCTGCTTCTTCTCTTCTTCCTTTACCCCCACTACCTCCGCCTGCTTCTTCTCTTCTTCCTTTACCCCCACTACCTCCGCCTGCTTCTTCTCTTCTTCCTTTACCCCCACTACCTCCGCCTGCTTCTTCTCTTCTTTTAACCCCACCATCCCCTCCTGCTTCTTCTTCTCTTTCTTTAACCCCACCACCTCCGCCTGCTTTTTCTCTCCCTGTTATCCCACCATTTCCTCCTGCTTCTTCTCTTCCTTTAACCCCACCACCTCCGCCTGCTTTTTCTCTCCCTTTAACCCCACCATTTCCTCCTGCTTCTTCTTCTCTTCCTTTAACCCCACCACCTCCTCCTGCTTCTTCTCTTCTTCCTTTACCCCCACCACCTCCTCCTGCTTCTTCTCTTCTTCCTTTACCCCCACCACCTCCTCCTGCTTCTTCTCTTCTTCCTTTACCCCCACCACCTCCTCCTGCTTCTTCTCTTCTTCCTTTACCCCCACCACCTCCTCCTGCTTCTTCTCTTCTTCCTTTACCCCCACCACCTCCTCCTGCTTCTTCTCTTCTTCCTTTACCCCCACCACCTCCTCCTGCTTCTTCTCTTCTTCCTTTACCCCCACCACCTCCTCCTGCTTCTTCTCTTCTTCCTTTACCCCCACCACCTCCTCCTGCTTCTTCTTCTCTTCGTTTAACCCCACCCCCTCCTCCTGCTTCTTCTGCTCTTCCTTTAACCCCACCACCTCCTCCTGCTTCTTCTCCTCTTCCTTCACCCCCACCACGTCTGCCTGCTTCTTCTCTTCCTTTATCTCCTCCACCTCCTCCTGCTTCTTCTCTTCTTCCTTTAACCCATCCACCTCCACCTCCTTTAAGTCCTCCTGTCTCTTCTCTCCCTTTAACTCCTCCACCTCTTCCTGCTTCCCTTCTTCTTGTATCTCCTTCTCTACCTGCTTCTTCTCCTTTTCCTCTAACACCTCTGCCTCATCCTGTTTTTCCTCCCCCATTTCCTGCATCTCTTCCTCCACCTTTACTCCATCCTGTTTTTCATTTTGCTTTACCTCCGTCTTCTCCTGCTTTTCCTCATCCTTTGACTCCTCAACCTGTCCAGTCTCACCTTCTTTCTCTGACTCAGTCGCTGCCTTGAGGCCACTTTCAGTCATGAACTCCCTTTCAGTTTGAGCTTGTTGGTTGTTTTCTGCGTTTCTCTCCGTTTCTTGTTTCTTTTCTGCATCACCTTCACTGTCTGTGACTCTCTGTGGAGACACAGACTCCTGATCTCCGTTGTTTACCATCTGTGTTGTGCTCCCGCTGGAGGAGAGTGTCCCTTTGTCCCCCTCTGGGCCTTTTTCATGCAGACTCTCAGTACTCGTTTCACTCGTCTCAGCACCCTCAACAGGCTGAAACTCTCCCTCCCCTCTTAAATCACCATGAGGTGTCTCTGTCTCTGTGTTATTAACGCTCATAGCAGGGGTATCTGAGTTGTCAGCATCGGTCTTTACACTGTGAGCAGTTAAACTTTCCTCGTCACTGTGGACTGGTTCATTTCTCTCCTCAGCTGTGCCTGATGATAAGACAGGCAAACTGTTTCTACTGCCTTCCTCTACGCTGCCACTGCCCTGACTTTGTTCTGCTGATTCATCAGTTTGAGGCGTGGAAATTTCTCTGTGAGGTACATCTGGAGGTACGTCTGCATCACTCCCCTCACCTTCATGACCAGCACCACTAGCAGCCCCAGTTTCATCTGACATGATTTCAGCCCCTTCCTTATCCCCGCTTTCTGTTGTCTTGCTTTGCAGCTGATCTTCAGCCTTACCTACAGATTCTCCGGTCGAGTCTGACTTTGAATCCACAGAATTGAACTCAGGCCCTCGATTGACGTCAGATTGTGTCAAAAAACCTTGATCACTGTCACTTGCAGTTTTAATTTCCCCCTCTCCTGGCTCTCTGTTATTATCCTCACCTTCATCTCCTATTGATTTGGGCAGCTGATGTTCTTCACCCTCTATTTCTGGAGATCTTTCCTCGTCCATCATTCCACCTACATCCTGGGACTTTTCCTCTAATTTCAGCTGAGGAGTTTCTTTTTCATCAACCATGGATGCGGCATCAGCAGGTAAGACATCGTCCTTCCTGCCACCTGACAGTGCGTTTCCTAGCCACTCCAATGTCCCCATCTCTTCCTTCTCTTCTTCATGTAATTGGCTGCCTTCTAGGTCCAGAGACATCTTTCTGCCTCTGAATTTTACTTGTGGCTCAGTTTCTTTCTCCAGTTCTCTTTCTCCATCTTGCTCATTTTTTGCAGAATCTGTTTTTGTCTCTCCTCCAAAGCCAAGCCACCCGGTCATGGTTGAAGTGAAAGAATCAGCAGCTTCTTCAGTGTCTTCTCTGTTTTTCACTGCATCATCAGGTTTTCCTTCTCCTCCAAACCCCAGCCATCCTGTCACAGACGAAGATAAAGAAGGGTTGGCTTGTGTTTCTTTTCTCTCTCCTTCTTTCTCCTCTTCAGCCGAATTGTCAGACTCTTCCTCTTTTCCCAGATGTAACCATTCTGTCATGGATGAAGTTAAAGAGGGTTTAGCTTGTGTTTCTTTTCTCTCTTTTTCTTTCTCCTCTTCAGCTGAATTGCCAGACTCTTCCTCCTTTCCCAGATGTAACCATCCTGTCACTGAAGAACCAAGCCAGGAAGCGGAGGGAGACCCACCTTGTTCGTTCGGAGCTGCAGGATTCTCGTGTGCGTGTTCCTCGTGAATCCCGGCAGTAGCATCACCATCATTTCTCTTTTCATCCCCTTCTGTCGTTGTGCCGTCAGATTGCTGTGCTGAAACTGGAAATTCTGTAGCGGGATCTACGGTCATTGAAGGACTTTCAGCATTCGTGTCATCGGTGTGTGGGTTGGTTTGGGTCGATTCTGACTCCTGGGTTTGGAGTTTCTGATCATCATTTTCATCATCACTGTCCAGCTCACTGGAGTCAATAGGATAGCCAAACTCATTCATACAGAAGAAATCAGATTTCTGAATGAAGAGAGAAAATAAAATCAGCAAGTACTATGACAACAAGCACTAACTCAAGGTTAAATAACTCATCGTATTATAGTATACCAGTTTCTTAATGAGTTGTAAGAAAGGCAAAGAATAAAGGCATAGAGAATAAGTGAAAATGTCACTTTCTGCTTATTTACTATCACCTAGTATACGTATTATGAGAAAGCATGATTGTTCTCAGGCTGTAGCTGAAGAAGAAGTGAAATCAAAGCCCATTTACCTGTGTTTCCACTTTTTTCTCTGTGGTTGTATAAACCTGATCCTCTTCCACCACATCCTTTGGGAAATAGCCAAACTGTTTGTCAATCTGAAATCAAAAAGGAAAATAAACATTTACATGTACATTTAGCTAACACTCTCCACAGTAAAAGCTTCCATCTTACAGGAAATACAGTACATTCACACTGATTCAGTCTTTGCTTGAACTAAAAACCTCTCAAAGCAGTATTGGGTGATTTCAGTGCATTAGTTAAATCAACAAGGTTCAGAAATTACTGTGTGTGTTGTGTGGGTTATTGTTTTATTTTAATCAATAACTTAATGTTAAACAATAATTAAATGTGACTCTGAAAAGCAGTATAGTTCATATAAGTGATGCTAAAATAGATGATGGGTCTGTTTATAATAATTCACTCATTCAGTCTCTTAGATAGTAGATAATTATATCAATTATATCTGTTAATTATGAAATGGGGTCCTCTAACAAGCATTTGTGTTCATCAGGCACAAGCTATAAGCTACAACATGACTCAGCCAATCAGTGCTAACCTAAAGTATCTTATAATCAAGAGTAATCTATTTAAACTAGAACCTGGAATGAGGGACTGTTTGAATTGAGAGGGTTGTTCTTTATATTGTGCTCTAAAGATAGAGGGAGACAGACTGGCAAACAGATGGAGAGAGCAGACATACAGATCCTGCCCAGAGGTCCTCCCTCTTTCCAGTCAGTTTGTGGTAAACAGAGATGATGTCTCCTCGTCTGAAGCTCAGGAAACGGCAGTCCTTGCCATGGTGGTCGCTGATGGCCTGCACCCTGCTCATTGGGCCTTCACACAAACACACACACACACACACAAACACACAGAGACAAATAATGGCAAAGAGACGCAAACACAAAGAGGTGATTGAAATAAAAAATAGATTGATGGATTAACGGAAAAAAATCATCATCATCAACATCATCATCAGCATCATCAAGAAAACTTAGAAATTTGAAAAGACCAAAATATATCATATTATTAACTATAAACTAGAATTATACTAGTGGCTTTAGGACTTACTTTCACATGCAGAGTCTCCACAGATCTTGTAGTCAGACAGCAATCCCAGATTTATATGAGGAAAAATCATAAACATTATGCCTGTAATCCGCAGGAATCTGCAAACCTGTGAAACAGCCATTCTTTGTGTATAAACTCGAGAGTATCAGGAGAAAATGTCCATATTGAGACGAAATAATTCAGGCCAGCTGTGCTGGCAAGTGGACATTGCCTCTAAGCTATTGCTGTCCTGAAGACTGAATGGTAAATGAGAGAGCTGAGATAAGATATAAGGCTAGCATGAGGATAATCATTAACATCCAAGAGCTGCTTGCAATACAAAACATTATCTGATCACTGGTCAAAAGTTTTGATTTTACTTTAGAGTTTATAATATCGGCGGAGGAATTATGCAATTTACATTTCACTGCGAAATGAATAAACAAAGGTGGGGATGATAAAGATTTTTGGCTTGCTAAAAACGTGGACGTTTTGTGGACTTCGCACTTTTATCTAAAAAGCTGACAACACGTGTGGCGTTCATCACCATGACAACCAGCACCGCGCAGAAAGACAACGTCACACGTTACTCTGCGTTTACAAGCAAGATGGCGGCCTAGTGTGTGGATAGTTTTACCGTTTGTGGAAAAAGTAATTGTTTTGGTCGTCAGAGGAGGTTTTTTTTATTGTAATTCGACACTTCAGTTATACCGACTAACCATTTACTTCAAACGTTTTGATATAAATTAGCTTGTTATTAAGATGAAGTCGGACGTGGAAGAGTTGATGCCGAGGCTGCTGCCCGTTGAGTTTGGAGCCAGCGCAGAGGACCTAAACCTGAACGGACCGCCGAGAAACCCCCAGGAATACCTCCGACAAGTCCAGTGAGTTCACTTCAAATACTCCTTTGTTTCTGTTCTGACAGTGGAGAATTAGTGTAGCTCTATTGGATTCAGCCGTGCATTACACTGATGACACCGGAAATATTGTAAACATAGTGGATGGTGACAGTGGAAGAGTGCTTATTAACGACTGTGACAAATATACTTAGTATTTTTGCTACGACATGCCCGTGCGGTAGTAAATATTGTTTTAAGATCGTGCACACATGGCTCAAAGTGTTGGTGCCCTGACACCTCACTGAAGCAGTGCTCCAAACATCCTGAAAAGTGTTGTGCAATTAAAAACAGTTTTTTGTCATGTCATGCACACCTAATTGCCTTTGGTTTGCAATAGAATAAAACAGAATGCTTATTCTAAAGAACTTCTACAATGGCTTGGACAAAATTATTGATACCCCGTAGAGGTTGTGATAAATGAGTGGACTGTAGTGATATATCAAGCAGACTATTGTCTTCAATTAGTTTGACAGGTGTCCTCAATCTTATAATCACTCATTCAGCCTATTCAAATGAAGAAAAGTCCTCATTGGGCTTCTTGGTATCATTGTGTGCACTACATGAAACATGGACAGCAGAAAGAAAAGAGCTGTCTGAGATAAGGAAGATAATTGCTGAAAACAATTGCTAAGAATGGTTAACGGTCAATGTTAAGGCTACAAGATCATCTCCAAGCAGTTTGATGTTCCTGTGACAGCCATTGCTAATATTACTATGATGTTTAAGTACCATGGGACTGTAGCCGACCTCTTTGGATGTGACCACAAGAGGAAAATCAAACCCAGATTAAACATAAGGACAGTTCAAATGTTGGAAAAAGAACCAAGGAAAACTTTAAAACATAATCAAGCTGACCTCCAAGATTAAGGTACAACAGTGCCCAGTCCCACCATATGTCTTTTTCTGAATCGATGTGGGCTCCATGGATGAAGACCCTAGAACATCCAACTTTTAAAGGAGAAACATAAAACAGCCCAACTTGATTTTCTTAAAATCACTGTTGACTGTTGATCAGTTGAGTGAGTTATGTGCTGGAATAATTTGTTTCCTTCCAGGTTGGAGGCGTCATTATGTCCAGAGGTGGTGGTTGCTCAGATTGACCCCAAGAAACTGAAGAAGAAACAAACAGTGAATGCATCTGTGAGTAAATGTACACACTGAGGTCTGTCCTTACAGTGGAAATATTTGATTTACAAAAGCCCATTTAAGGATGGACATTACAAATGTTATAATTGTATTGTTATGATGTTGTGTTGAGACAAAAAATATTAATGTATAAATAATTATATGTGCGTATGTGTACAAGTTGGACCAAGCAACATCTGAAGTATTTTTTTTTTGTAAATATATAAAACAAATCAAAGCATTATTTGGTAGTCTGTTTGCTTATGAGCTACCAGGGACGCATGGATAATGTTTGCATGTATGAGATCAGCTGAGATGAAAATGCATTGTATTCCTTTTAGTGTCTAAGAACGGTCTCTACTGTGTTTTAGGTGGCAGGTTGCCAAGCTGCTCCCATGGGTTTCTGCCCTAGTCTCAGTTGGCAGCAGCAGCAAGTCAGTAACTTCTCAGATGTCAGACAGGTAAAATGCAATACATAAAAACAACTTCCATAAAATCTCAAAATAGATTAAAATCACTTGCTGCTCAATTGAGAATATGAAACAAAGAAAAGAATCAGTTCTCCACGTTGATAAATTTGTGACTTTTCATCAATTACTTCTCTGTACACTGACTGACCAGTTGTAGCAAAATAGTAAATTTTTCTTTGATAAAATGAACACTTGAAAAGTGTAATCCATGATACAGGATAATAAAAGAAATGTTACATACGTGGCTCAGTGTTTGTTTTGAAATATGTTGCAGTGTTTTATTCAGAAATGAAAAAGGCAGAGGTGCGCTATGTCATTCCTATAAACATTCCTCTGTTCTGGATTTTGCTTTCAGAGTATCACAAAGAACAGGCAACACTGGAGCAGACAGACTCTGGATGACAACGTGCTGATGGTGAGGAGATGGCATAGTCACAAAATTCACTCAGTGGTTATAACTGTGTAAATTTATAAGCATCACCTTGGATGTTTTACCTCAAGGGTGTCTGTTGATATGGGTATACATATAAGACAAGAGGCAAACTGAAAAATAAGTTTTGTATTTGTTATAAATGTGTGTGTGTGTGTGTGTGTGTGTGTGTGTGTGTGTGTGTGTGTGTGTGTGTGTGTGTGTGTGTGTGTGTGTCACAGCCAAAGCTAACAGATGAGGAGGGCTGGAAGAGGTTTTGTTTAGGGGAGAAGGTCTATCTGGGAACATCATCCTGTGATGCAGAATCAGAGCCAGCACTGGACTACAACAAGGTTGTATGAATGGGTTTGTTTGAAGAAAGAGATAAAAGGCTCCTTTTAATAAACTATTAATTAATAATTAGCTGTCAGTTAGTCTGTTTCTTGAATATCATTGACTTTATATCTGTCTTGCATAGGTGTGTAAAATCTCAGCTGACCTAATAGTTGTTGTTACAGTTGTGAATATGTCATAGTATTTTAAATTTTTATCAAAGAAGTGCTTATAGTGAAAATGAGGATGCTTCACTCCTGTGACTTTTGATTGATAAATGTATGAAACATTTTATTTTAATCATATAAGACCATGGAGCCCTAAATGTGACTGTTGTATTGATAACAACATGTCTCTGTTCAGGTGGGCTTCCCTCCCTTCCTAACCATCGTTAGCAGACTCAACCAGGTAAATTACCTCCACATTCAGAAATTGGACTTAAACTCTTAACCCGTGCAAGTCTGATTTGTATGTTTTCTTCCTTTCCTCTGTGTTGATAGTCCACAGTGTTGATGGTGTTGGAAATTCTCATCAGTTGGTTTGAGGAGAGAACTTTTGTTCCACAGCTGGTGAGTTTGGTCAGTTAAGCCACTTCACATTTCTTCAGTTGGTTGCTGCTTCCTTATAAGTCTGAATCTACAATCACATTTTTGTTTTGTTTTAGGTGGAAAGCTGTGCTCATTGTTTTCAATAGAAGAATGACTGTAAATTTGAAATTTGGTGATCCCCTAGTCTTTCCACAGGAGCTTGCACATAGAACATGACAACTGAATTTGTTTATTCTAGGGTCGCTGGTTGTATGCTTTATTGGCGTGCCTGGAGAAGCCTCTGCTGCCTGAAGCCCACTCCTCCATCAGGCAGCTGGCCAGGAGATGTGCCCAGCTCCGCAGCGCGCTGGTAGGACTCAGTCTGCACCATTGTCCTCTAACCTGAGCTACTCTACCACTGCCACCAAGTGTAGCTCCGCCATTGTGTATTTGCTGTACACTTTGATGCTCTTTACATTGCTGTTTTGGTTGCATTATGTCTTGTCTTTGGTGCAAAACCTTGACTGCTGATGTGATGACATGATTACTGCAGTGTTTCTTTATAAATTAAGTTCTGTATTTTAAATTACTATTCAATGCAAGGCCTGTCGGAATTTGACTCTTGTTGTGATATTAGACCTGACTATCTGTTCTGCTTTCATGGTTCCACAGGAGAGTCAGGAGGATGAGAAACTGCCTGCCCTCAACCTGCTTATCTGTCTTGTTGCCAGGTATCTACCAAATAGTTTAAATTGATCAGGTCACATATTAAAATATTGAATTTTTATATATATATATATCTCAAGGCTGCTTGCATACTTGATAATGTTAAATCCAGTGCAAACAGCATACAAACGTTGAAGTGGTTGATCCTAACTACCAATATCTTACAATTTCATATTTGCCAAGTACCATATTTTGATTGAAGTGAATATGATCTCTGCAGCAATCAATGGTAATACACGGTTACTTGCAATTATAATAATTTACTCTTTTTTTTTTTTTTCTTTTTTTTTTTTTAAACCTGCAGATACTTTGAGCAGAACGACCTGGCAGATCAACCGGAATGATCACATGGTTAAACTGTTTGTGACTGATATCAACAAGACAGTAAGGGAGAATATGTTACTCAAGTAACATTCAGGCAGCAGGCTCCACAGTCATCATGACCTAACACTGAAACTTGTGAACAAGTCAACATGAAGAACCTTTACCAACCAAGCAAAATCATTGGATGGAAATGAACTTTTCACAGTGGTCTCAGTGCACACGTCCACATGGACTGTGGCTCTGCACAGGTTGGGATGAAAGCTGAGGATGAAACCAAAGGGTCATCAAAAGTCCGTGAACACAACTTGTATTATTTGGAATGAATTTGGTGACTTAAACAACCTCTGCTGATAGAACTGAAGCAGTCAAAGCAGGAGGATCCCTATTAAACAGGAAAAGCCCAACGTTTTCTTGGTGAATTTAGTCCTGATGTTAATGGATCTATTAAATGCAAGATTTGTCTATTAAACTGTGACTTGTATAATAATTGGTTGTGTGGACATTGTTGTTGGTCATCAAGTGTTTCAGGTCCTTACAAATATATTTGCCAATATTAACACTGGCTTTTTAGCTATGCAAATGACATGGCTCCAGGTTCAACACTTTGGTCCAGAGTGAAATATCTGCACGGATGAAAACATTGACATTAATACCGAAAATAAATCCTAAAGCCTGTGCTATGAAGCAGGTTCAACATAGCTAAAATTACTTGTCTCACAGATAAGTCATTTCAGATATCCTGCTCTTCATGCCATGGTTCTTACTTTGCTGGACCTATCAAAAGCCTTTGTTGCTGTGAACCACCACATCCTGCTATCTGTACTCTCTGGCTTTCTTGGATTGAATCCTATCTCACTGGGTGCACCTTCAGTGTGTGAGGGTGAGGACAAACGTCTCCACCCTACATGATTGGCACAGGGACCCCTTCTCTGGCATTATACACCACCACCTTAGGTCGAATTATCTGCTTACATTACTTTTCATATCACTGCTTCTCAGTGGATCTCAGCTCGTCTTTCCAACATATCCACATGGATGAAGGAACGCCACCTTCAACTGAACTAGTCACCCCAGCGATCTCGATATAGCAAAATTGCCTCATCATCTCTTACCCACCTCACAAGAAACCTGGGTGCCATGTTCAATGACCCGCTACCGTTCTCTGCCCATATTGTATGTCTCCAAATGCTGTCAGAGCAGGGGCGTCCATCTCTATCTCCAAGAATCTCTTGACTAATCTCACGACTTACTAGCACTTACTATGACTTCTTTACCTGATCTTCTTGCACTAATTGAATTGATGTAGTACTTACACCGAGGTTTCTTACTGAACCAAGGTTTTAGTGTTTTTCCTCACTTAAGCTGCTTTGGATAAAAGCATGTCAAATGAGTAAATGTGTCCTAATTTCAGAATGAGACACTAATCCACCCATTTTGCTGTATTTGGGCTTGAATTTCAGATTTTAAATGATGCAGTATATATAGAGCTCAAACAATTAACAATGTTGATATAAGTTGATGTTATTTTTTTAATCAAAAATGCAATATTGGATTTACAGGAGTCTGGGAAATTTTAATTTTTGACGTTATATACCAAATGACTGAAAAAAATAATCATCCGTCATAGTCCTAATATAATTACCACACCACACTTTTCCACTACTACCTCACCTTTATTTTGAAGCAGATTATCATTTGGTACAAAAAACAAAAGGAAACAGTTTCAAAAATGAGTATTTCCGCAGATCACACATGTACCCATGTGATGAAGATACAAGGGCTTTGACATTGATCAAATAGTGAAGATAAATGGGGATTAACAGCGTTGTCACATTAACTTGAAAACACAACTACTGTATGTTAATGGTCACTGCTACCATAACCGTCAATATCCCAGCCTATGGCATTATGATTGGGATGAAAAAAAAAAAAAGAAATAGAAAAACATTCAACACAATCTTTTCATTGTTTGCGTCACAAAGACTTTCATAAAACCTAAATGTCAGGATGAAACATCTGGATTTAAAATGACAGGACTAAAATGATGTCTCTCCTACCTCAAATCTGTTTAGTAAGCAGCCCAATTAGAGATGCACCACTGTGACTGAAAAATCCAGTTTACATTTATTTTGCCAAGGGAAAAAGTTGGAGGAAAATAATGACCAGTCCTCCATGGTTTCAATTTAGTCTAGATACCACCTTTAAATATCCTCAAGGAAAATCCTCTTATGTTAAAACTGTCATTTTAATACCAGTTTAAAACTTTTGTCATCTCATGTTTCATTAAGTAAATAGCTGGAGGTTGCCAAATTATCAGAGGCTGAATGAGAACCAGATTAGCGCCTCTTGTCCTTCCTGTCTCTATCTTTATGCTCCCTATCGCTCCGAGACGACCTGCCCCTTCCCTCCTCGCTCCTCCTCTTCCTCCTCTCTTTCGATCCCTTCGAGTCCCTTCCTCCTCCGCTACTCCCTCCTCTCTTACGATGACTCCTGTCTTCTCCTTTCTTCCTGTCTCTGCTTCTATCCGATGGCCTCCTCTTACGCTTACCGCTATCTCGGCTGCGACTTCGGCTGCTGCTGTTGGACGACGAGGATGAAGAGGACGATGATGATGAAGAAGAGCGGCTGGATCCAGAGGAAGAGGAGGAGCTTCCACTGGAGGATGAGCCGGAGGAGGAAGAGGAGGAGCTGTTGCTATGACTACGGCCCTTCTTTGGCTCCTTTTCCTTCTTCCTCCCTCTCCCACTGTCCTCATTCTCCTTGGAGAGCGCGGGGGTAGTGCTGGGGGCTTCCTGGGAAACAGGCAGTTTTTGTGGGGCTTCGCCCCCTGCTTTCCCTTCTACAGCCTGGTTCTCCACTGCCAAGTCCTGGACCTCAAGGCCAGGGATGGCGAAATCCTGCCCAGGTACAGCGGCGGCTGTTTGGGGTTGTGGGGTAGGAGAAGCCCCCTGGGTCTCAGAGGACTGCACTGCTGGTTCCCCTGCAGTGGGACTGGGCTGGGGCTGCTGACTGGTGTCTGGTGCTTCTTGGCTGGCTGTGGTTGGTTCAGAGGACTGGGTTTCTTGGGTCTTTTCATTTTGGAGGTCTGTGGGCCCTTGTTTACTGTCTATTTCTCCCACCTCTTCCTTTCTCCTGTCCTCGCGCTGCCCCTCAACCTCCATCTCTTCTGACCCTGGACTTGCCTCCTTGTCTCCTTTTTCCCTCTGATCCTCTCTGCCCTTAACACCCTCCCCTCCTTCCTTCTTCTCGCTACCCTCCTCAATTAACTCCATCTGCTCCTCCTCTTCATCTGCCTTCTTCAACCCCATCTCCTCTTCCTCCCTCTCGTCCTTCTCCGTCACCTTTCTCTCCCCCTCCTTTTCCCTCTCCTCTTCCTCCTCATCTTCCTCCTCCTCTTCCTCCATCTCTGCATCCCCCTTGTTACCTGTCACCTTGACTACCTGACCTGCTGGCTTACCCTCCGCTGGGTGGTCCATTCCTGTTGCCGCTGTGTTGCCGTCCTGGTCGCGGTTTGGCTGTCGCCGGGGGCGGGACTCCATCTTGCTTAGGTGTTCGGCAAAAGCCTCACGCCTCTCGTCAAACACAGCTGCAGAGACAAAGATTCACAGGTTACAGGGTGAATAATGTACACATAAACACGCCTGTGACTACAAAATATCTGGATAAAGAAACAAACTCCAAAGAACAAGAAATGACACAAACAAACAAAACACAGGTGAGATGCCTCCATAACAAGAGACCTACTGACCATTTAGTTTCTTGGTGGAGTCATCGAGGAGTTTCTGTGTTGCGGAGCACATTTTTCCAGGCAAATAGAAGATGTGAGGCTTTGTCTTAGTGCGAATGTATTTCACCAGGCGATTATTGTGGCTGGTCCACTCCTCTTGCTGTAGATGGATGAAAGAGAAAGTTAACATAAAATTCAGGCTGAGTATAAATTTTCTTTGACTCACTGTTTTATACCCCACATTACTGAGACAGTTAAATGTTTGTTACCACGCACTCTTTTTCTGCCTATACCTTTCCTCATCCCTCTTTCTCAAATTTTTTCTTCTAATATTAAAATAATTTTAGAGTCTACTTGGACTGAAATGATAGAAAATTACAATGCGGACACAAAGCTGACAACTGTGAAAAAAGCACACATACAATCACAAGAATACACGTTTTACAGCATCCTGGATACAGTATGTATGCATGCATGTTCCAAATCACTTATTCCCATGCAAGCGGAAACAATCTTTCAAAAAGGCACAGAAACAAACTGAACTCCAGTCAGCTGTCCAACCATTTTATTTTCTGTTTCCTTTTGGGGTTTTATTTCTACCTTCTACAAATAGTGTTAAAAAATACTTTACCAGCTGAGCCAGTTCGACTTTCTGTTCCAGTAGTCTCAGCTCAGTCTGTTTGGCTCTCCTCTCTTCAAAAAGCTCCCTCTTTTCATTCTCCACCTTCTTTCTCTCTGCCTCAGCCTGAACCTCGAGCTTCTGCTCAATCTCTGTACGTCGCTTTTGCTGTGGGGGCAAAAGCAGAAGATGGAGAGAGATGGGATTTAGGAGATACAGAAATCAATAGAAAGGTAACACAGTTGTTGGGCACCATGATTAAATGCTTAACCAACTTATTGTATAAATGTTTAAATATTTCTGTGGATAGTGAAACTGATGGAAGCTTCAGTCCTCAATATCACAAATATTGAATTACAAAGTACTTTACAAAACAATAAAAACTAAAAGCATTTTGAAGCGCATGGATTGCCACTATGGCTCTGTGACCATCCATTACTTTTCATTTCTACAATCAAAGCACTCACATGAAGCCCAAATAGGTTTTAGATCAGTCTGGTTTCAGTGACTGGTAGTTTAGCTAAACACCACTTCGAAGGCAGTAATCAAGTGAAACCATAACAGATTTAAATATTTTAGGGGCATTTTGTTATCTCTCAGCAATCTGTTCATTTGCTTTGCCTGCATTGCTGATGGCAGGCAGCTCAACACCTCACTGATAAACTGCATAGATCTCTGCACCTTTTCTGTAGAGACGTTGGACTCCTGTTTGAATTTTTGCAGGGTCCCCATCAGCAGGCCAAACATACGCCGATTCCTGACCAAGAAAACACAAAACCACCATCACACACACACTCCCAATTCACACCTACAATATAATGATAAATATTGATATATATTTGTTTACATTTCCTATTTTCACTATGTGCATGGGCCAAAAAAAAAAAAAAAAAAAGAAGGAAAAAAAAAAGAAATCAGATTAATCTTCACAATTACTCATGTTAGGTGATGTTCAAATATCCATCTGTTTTTACAACAGGCTGGAACTCATGTGGGCCTACCTCTGTTTGCCCCTCTCGTCCATGGTCTGATCTTGAATGAGGTCTCGGCGTGTTCGCTCCTTGGAGGTAGCTACTACAGACGACTGCAACGCCGGCTGAGGGAAGGAGAAAACAGAACAAATCAGATTAAGTCTTTCACCAAAACACAAAATGTAAAATACACCTGACTGAGACAGTAAACAATGGGGAGCAAAATACTTCTTAATGTCTGCAAAATACAACAGTAGTGCTATCAGGATGTTCTGATATATGAAACTGATGGACATTTTGACAAGCCCAGACATCTGCCAAACAACCAGAAAATTCAATCTACAGTATTTTGATGACCAGTCAATGTTGGAACTAATCCAATAATGTCATCACAAAATCACGCCTGTTTACAACTCCCCCCCCCCAGGCTGCACATGAACAGCGCTACACACACTTCTTAAGACACAAACTTTCTTCATACCTTTTTGACATCGTCATCATCCTCGGCGTCGCTGTCGTGACGCGCATCTCTCCTGGCCCTCTGGTCCCCCGCCAGCCTGCAGACACACATGAAATGATGAGACGCCCCCATTAGCGACAGATGCCTTGCAATGAAGGCAAACACAGCAACTGCTATTCTCACATCTGTCAGAAAGCCAATTATAGCCAGGGGTGTGATCCACACACACACAAGAAAAAGTACAAAAATACCCACATGGAAGCAGCATCACACAAATCAAGGAACACTGCCATCTTATTTTCTCGCTGCTTTTTGACCTGAGGAAGTGAACAAGTCACTTCAAAATAAACCAGTTTTAATCTCCACAATTACCAGCAAGAGGCATCTTTACTCATATTGATGTTAAACGTACTCTGATGAATTAAAACGGGCAACATTTTGATTATGTTTATAATTATGTGAATGTGTATTTGTTTTACTAAATCTAATCTCTTATTCTAAAAACAAAACAGTCAGTGCTTTACGTTGAAAATGAAGCAAAGCTTTGAATCAGAACTATATTCATGAATTTTTGTTTTTACTTCCTCCCACTGCACCCACATATAAGATGTAAATGTCCCATCTTGAAATTGTATGCACAGTTGGTGTATATTAAAAAGAAAACTCACCTCAGCAGTGCTCCTTCGATGTCTCTCTGCTTGGCAGGGGGGCCGCCGCTTCCTATGTCTGAGAGACTGCGCCTAAGAAGGGACATTTTAAAGTCATGAATTAAAGAGGCATTTACAAATGAGGCCACATGTTTAATTTCAAACCCAGTGAGTGCAGGCATCTAAAATTGTGTTACTGTTTATAGAGTTATAAAGTGCAGTATACGGTGTCCAGTTTATTAGGTACAGTCCTGTAAGTAGTCCAACCCATGTGAAGGTTACAAATTTCCATCTTGTTCTAAAGACCGTAGTTTGCGATGCTAGTGAAATTGCACATGTCCACCATACAATGCATATTGCTTGATTTAAAACATTGCCGTGAATGGTGAAAATTGGACAGCCTGTTTTCTGAGTGCAGTTTGCACATCTTCACGCCCTTTGAGATCACCTACTGAGACTGTTGATGTGTCAATGAAGGTAAAAGTCGTTGCACTCAGCCATGTAGAGCCTAGTTTTACCTGAGCAGGTTGACTCCTCTGCCTCTACCTCCCCCGACGCCTGCCATGGGGCCGCCGAGCCGGCGGATCTGGCCCGGCCTGTAAACACAACAGGAAATTCTGTCAAAACAAACCAAGCACTCTCGGTCTACTAATTCACACCAGAAACTTAGATTAAATCTTATTGTTTTATGCAATGACGCCGTTACTTCGTTAGGCGCAGAGTCGTTTGGCACTACCAAATAATATCTGCGATAACTCTCAGAAGACGCCTACTACTAGGCCTAGCAACTAAGTCTGATATTTCACTTCAAGGTTAAAAATGATTATTCGTTCCAGGTTTATTTATTACTTCTGTGGGGTTAATTAATCCGTTTGGACATAGGTGTAGGTTCAGATAGGACAAAACAATCTCAGGACGTGGTCATGTTTGCTAGCTAGCTAGCAAACCGACTCATGCTAGCCTAGTCATTTGATTGCTAGCAGGTTGGTTAGCTTATCACTAGTAATACACCAAAAGCTAAATAACCACTCAGGCCACTTACCTCGATTCATTAGGATCACGTCCGGTTAATTTACGAATATTATCGTCTACATGTTTTAGGCTTTCCTTTGCTTTTTCGAGCTGGTCTTGCAAGCTCCGCACCGCCACCGCCATCTTACTTCCAGTTAGCGCGAATCACGTGTTCCTTCTTCTTCTACGGTTACTGACTCCTGTTCTTCTTCTGTTTTAACTGCAACTGACATCATACGTTGTGGTGTATTATCGCCACCTGCTGCTCCTGCTGAAACCTTATGTTGATGTTTACGTGAACTGTACCAACATGTTGATACATGCATTCATCTTCACACCCACGTTAAAATAGGCGAATGTTTATTTTATATTTCCTCTGAAAAGTAACTAAAGGGAAACCAAGCACCTATTATTTAATATTATAAAAGAACAAAAAATGCTTTGATGTAAAATAGTAATATAAGAGACATTAAATTATGACCAGCTCATGAAACTGGAATTTCCAGGGGTGCACCTGCTGTCAATAATAGTGCTATTACTTGTACTATATCAGTCAGATCATAATGTATGTCTGTTTAACTGGTGTTACATATAGACAAACATTTAAACAAAAGTATCCATGTTTTCAGACATTAAAAAAAATCTATTTCTTGAGATAGTATTTAGAATAGGAGAAAATAAAGGGAAATGTTCATGTGTTTTACTTCCATTGTATCAGCGACCTTTTTTTCATTTGACAGCCACGCTATATGCGCCTGTCTGTGTTTTTTGAACTGTAAACCACAGTGTGCAGAGAACACCAGCTTTGAATTGTGGGTCCAACGTTGAAAATGACACCTCTTTGTGCCTTGCTCTTGCAGCTCTTGCATATAGAGTGGGAACCAACTACCCAAACCACAGCTGATTTCCTGGTTCATATCAGCATGTGACACTGCTTGATATCTGAGGTTTCACTGATGATTCGTCAGTTTCAATCTGCAACGTTTTCTGCTGTGGTTCAGGGTGGATTTCCCTTTAATGCTGGCATGATAATATGATAGACATTACTGATTATACAATGAACACATCAAATATGTGCATGCACAGTGTCGCCATGCACTCAAATGCACACAATTCATTTGAACAAATGGAGCATGTAACACACACGTACAATGCCACAATGCATTTAGCACACTGAAGAAATCGATTATGGTTGTGATACAATTCACATGTTATTTTTTCAACATTTGAACACAGTTTTCTCTATATATCTAAATATCTGACAAACACCTGCAAACTCACAACCTCAAAACATGTCAGATGTTTTGTTGCATCCTAAATGTTTAGATCTTTAAATCGTGGGAACCTGGGATATGTTGATCAGACAAGTTAAAAGCAAGTTTTAACAGTTCATGTCAAAACATCATGAACAAATCTTCATTGTAAGTCCTTTCTTTTCATATTTTATTTTCCAGGGAAAAAATGGAAACCAGTATCAACATAAACAGGAAATAAATGAACTGAAAGAACTGAAATGAAAGCAGGTTGCTCTCAAAGTCGCATCTAGTAAAACTACTAGGAGTTGCAGTTGCAGTAACATCACCATAATTTGTTTTCCCCCACTCAAATGTCAGATACACCTCAGTGAAGTAATATAACTCTTTGGCGTTGGTAAACAGGAACGATCAACATCTCCAAATACATTTAGTCATCATGCACTGTTACACAATAGAAATCCTTCTTCAAAAATCCCATCCGTCTCATTGTTTCATTGAGTCGGGGATGAAAGATGAAAACCTTGAATGATTCAATCTCGTCCTGTTTGTTGTTTGTCGACTCCATGGTAACTGTGGGGGCCACACAAATCTGTTATTGTTTCAGCTTAATTGTGTAACACCAACATGATAATCTCATAGTCTCATTATCCAGACGTGAACAAGCCTTGTTTTTGTTTGAGCTCTGAACAAAACAAAAAAACTAAAGTAAAAGTAGCCACAGAGTTTCTGTTGTTGTCAGCGTGTGTCTGCAGGTGTGTTTGGGTGCAAATATGAATGTCAAACATGCAACCGTGTCTCTCCTCAGAATCATTGTGTGGATACAACAGGCTCATCTGAACTCAGGTTACCTATACTTGCAGGTAACAGAATAATATTCAGTTAGCAACATGCTTATGTCTCAGTGCCAACAAGCCTCACTGCAACAAGACAAGTCATTTTTAGCATCTTGTGACTCATCTAATCACATTGCAACGACCGTGGAGGTGTTGACTGGTGGTGAAAGAGTTATGGGAGAATTAGGTGTGGCTACTGCCTGCATCACCCATATTCTTATCTATGGCCTCCATGTGTTTGTTTTATGAACATAAAATATGAGACCATAATGCCAGAAGAACCTGCTCAAGCATAAATCCTCCATTTAAAAAGACTGAATGGGGCCTAGGTGGGATGGTAACTCTCAGTGGGATGGGGGGGGGGGCTGCTGGTTCGTCTCTACACTATCTGTTAAACATCTAATATTTGTTTTATATTAAAACGAAAGTATTTAATAAATGTGCACTGTGATAATTAACCATCACTCTCTCTGACTTGTTGCTGTCTGTCTCCTCAGTGCCTCCTCCTCTCTCTTCCTTCCACCTCCTCTCCCTCTGCTCGTCACCAACCAACAATTTTCCCTACATTTCCCTCTGTTGTGTTGTCATGAAGACAGTGGTTGAATCTCATTTGCATGAGTGTTTTCATGTTGCCTCCTCACTCAAGGGATTGAGAACAGCTCATGTTAGTGTTCCCTGCCCCCAGTGACAAGGTCTGTTTCTGTAGTCTGACAGTACATATGTATTGTATTGTATGTTTGTCAAACGAGCACAACCCCGACACACAGTGTAGCATGACAAAATAAACGCAACAGTTTTATTAAAGCGGTGTGGAAAATTCAATTCGGAACTTCACCTCTTGTGTTAAACTGTGATAACTGCTCTTGAGGTATGTTTCAGGCTTTCCGGAGCTCTTTGAGCAAATGGACAAATACATCTATCTTAGCCAGAGTAGCAACAGAACACCTCCACTCCTGACAGGTCCTTTTGTCAGCTAGTACAGCGTGACTTACCCCCGCACACCTACACCCCCTAATAAAAGGTCGAGCACCCCTTCATTAACACCTGTCATATTCAAATTGTGTTTAACTGATTATAACTGGATGCTTCATATAAGGTCCAGTGAATTGTTGATATTTAGGCTTGCTCTCTTTTAGCCATTTGGACTTCTTACACATTTACAACATCCAGCAATATGGTGTTATTGGTGATAATGTTGGGAGGCGCTTTCTGTGGAAGGTTCTTTTTTTTCTGAACAAGATTGTCATTTGTCTTCTTTCCAGTTTAGCTGAGCTACTCCACAATCTCTCCACGTACGACCGGGGTAGTGGCCTGTTTGTGAGTCACTGAGCCAGAACATCCTGTTTCATTTCACCTTTTTATAAAGTGACTTTGTTTTTTATGTCTTATCTTTAAAGCCCTTGTTGATCAATTTATAGATATTCTTATTGAAATCAGCATCTGAGGCAAGCAGCAGCCCTGTCTGGAAAGGTGCTGTAAATGACTCGTCTTTCACTGTGGTTCAACATCTCATTAGAGGGAGTTCAGCTGCTGGTGCACTGACAGATCAGTCACCCCCTTGTCATCCAAGTCAAACTGTAAAAAAGCTGTAAGAACTAAAGGGCTCCAATAACAAGTGTCATGTAACCAATTCTAAATCACCCTTTAAAAACACACACAGTGAAGGCCTTTTAAACCCCTGGAGGACGGGGAACCGTTGGTGCATAACCAAAAATCTGATGAAGCTGAAAACAGTTGGTAGGGAAACAATAAGACAATGGAGGCAAAAGACTTTTTAATGCTTTTATTCACTGACTAAAAGAAGAGAAGCATTCATTCAACATTGATTCAAATCAACGTTCGGCAGGTTGACCCCTCAAGTGTACGCCACCTGTCAGTTAAGAGGTTTTACATGGAGGTTTGTAATATGTCCTCCCTTTTCTCCACAACAGAACCATGGATCAACACTGTTCTCATTGATAAAATCTGCCCTCTCAGCCGGAGAGGACTCTTTCCCTGCAGACTAACCCAATAAACAGCTGGGAAGATTTCAAATCAGAGTTTTATCTGATTTCAGCCTTCAATTCGCCAAGGCTTAGGCAGGTTCACTACTAAAATGCTACATGGACACCAGTGGGACACTTTTGTTTGGCCGTAACAAGTCATAATCCATGCTGTTGATTAACCAATCATCTGGACCCACACAACTAGTTCTGTTTGAAACTAGACTGACATTTTAAAAGCTGTGCACAGATCAGATTTGGAAGTTTTAGAAAGATAATAAAATGAATTTGAAATATGCTCCATGGTGCATGAAATCTGATCCAGCTGTGTTTTGGTTTACGTCTGGGTCCCTACTTACAGAAAGAAGGTAAAACCCACTGCTATGTGCTCACTGTAACAAACACAATCACACAGGAACATAACGCTCAGAATATTCAACATTAAGGATGGTAAAACCATTTTTGCAAAAAACACACAACAACGTAGCTTCTGATTTACAAAGTCTGTGTGATTTCATAATATACTTCATGTTCATAAATTGAACCCGGACATGTGTTGCATAAGAGTATACCACGGTAATGCATTGTTGAGACCTATACAAATATGCACTATGTGAGTTTATATATCTATTTATATAGTTTATATTTCTTCCTCTATGGTTTTCTAAAGACGCAGCCGGGCGCTGTCAGCACTGCTTGTGCCCCTTTGTGGCCACTAGTAAGACTGCTGTTATTGCAAACTGTCCTGATTTTAAACAAATGCACAACATTCGTACCACGATAAAACTGGGGCCGTCTAGCCAGTCTCACAGAGACCAAGAGTGAGCCCGCCGTCACCGCTGCTGTCGCTGGGCTGGCTGACCAGAATCAAAAGATCTTAAAACTAAATGATAAGATTTCATAAATCATCATAAGGCCAAGTATTGTCATTGCAAGTTCTTATTAGTTTACGTCTTCATTTCTACTGCGTGACAGTGAGAAAAAGAAAAACTAAATATAAAAACAGAAAAAAAAAAAAAGAAGTGTGGATTATATGCATTCCTCTTGCATAGTTGTGAGGTTGGACTGGGCAGCAGGCCTGCCTGCCTGGCTAATTAGGAGGTTTGGCTCTCCAGACTTGACAAGAAAGACTTTGTTTAGCGGCCAGAAACATCAGAGCCACAGTAGCTGAGATCTAAATGAAGATAGCTGGCTGACACTAAGCATGACTATCTATCAGTGCCTTGATATAGGCAGGTGTGACACCAATCTCTATGGTGTGCACCAGAGCTACTGACAGTTTGGCCAGGTTATGTTATGAGACATATTGTTGTTTTTTCTCTAGAACTACAGAGTAACAAGTATATGATGATTCCCTTAATGTTCCAGTTGTGCTGGGATCATCATCATAAGCTGGCTGGATAAACTGTTTTAGTGTCAGCAATGGCTAAAACTGAAAAAAAGAAAAAAACTGGAGAATCCAAACTTCCTCTACAGTTCTCAGTGTGGTCAGCTGCTGATGGCTTTGCTCTATGTGAACCACTGAGATTAGAACTAGCCTCATACACATCTATCTATTATCTGTTACACAGGACTGATTTTATACCAGTGCAATGCACATCCAGTGTTTTTCTCCAAGTAACAGAAACATACATCAAGATGTTAATCAGGTTCTTCACGCTCCTGCCTGAGTCCAGCCCTGTGTGAGCTCATTCAAAGTCTTGCATGTACTGGTAGTAGTCTATGGTCTTAGCATTTAGATAAAAAAATAAAACAGACATGAGGAGTCTGAAATCTCACATTGTGATGAGGAAACCCTGTCTCTTAATGGTAATCCTGTCAGAAACATTTAACCCTTCCCTGAATCACTTTTAGGGAAGGTTTTAGGCCCAGAACCATCTTACTACCTGTTTCCTACAGCTTTTTTTAAGTTCACTTCTCAAAACATTGCAAACATCCCGAGAGTCAAGATCATAAACTCTCAAGCTGGCAACGAGTCTGATCAACGATTAAAGAGAAATGAAACTGGTTACGTCTGATGTGTGTCTGTCTGCGGCTCTGAGCCTGTGTTTAGACTGATGCAGATCTGACACAGTCTGTTGCTTTGGTACAGAAATAACACACACTCGCACTTCTGGTAATGTCAATAGGATTAGTACTGGCTATTAAGTATTAGCACAGAAGTCTCAAACCCAACTCTTTGTATCTGGGCTTGGCAGGTCAGACATACCCAGATCCACTGTAGATCTACAGTTCTGCGATTGCAACACAGTTTTAATAAGCTGTCAAGGCCAACTGTCTCAGATGGACTACATTAGAGGCCAGCTCTGTGGATTCAATTACCCATCAGGTTACAGGGGCCCTGCTATCTTCCAGGATTTCTCTATGAATGCATATAAAGAGCACAGAAAAAAAAACAAAAGAAAAAAAAAACATAAACAAATCAAAAGGGCAGATCGAGCTGGCTGCAACCACAAGAATGTACAGTAACTGCTGGTAATGATCTCCTGAATAACTGACAGCCCATCTCCTCTCTAGAGCCTCCAAACCTGTCATTTTGACGGCAGAACTCATTAAAGATAAGGCTCTGCTGGCTGTGTGTCAATCAGTCCTTCTGTGTTTACACAGTATAGTATAGTTATACACAAACCTCTGTCTGTATATGGTGTATAAATAAGTCCCAGCCCAGACTCCAGGTGCCCCTTTGTGTCCATAATGAAGGTGAACTGTGACTTCTGTGTGTATTTATGTGTGTACTAAATATGCAGACTGAGCT